TCATAGAAAGGTTATGTGATATGGGTCATAGAAAGGTTATGTGATATGGGTCATAGAAAGGTTATGTGATATGGGTCATAGAAAGGTTATGTGATATGGGTCATAGAAAGGTTATGTGATATAGGTCATAGAAAGGTTCTGTTAAGGGTCATAGAAAGGTTGTGTGAAAAGGTCATAGAAAGGTTATGTGATATGGGTCATAGAAAGGTTATGTGATATGGGTCATAGAAAGGTTATGTGATATGGGTCATAGAAAGGTTGTGTGATATGGGTCATAGAAAGGTTATGTGATATGGGTCATAGAAAGGTTATGTGATATGGGTCATAGAAAGGTTCTGTTAAGGGCCATAGAAAGGTTGTGTGAAAAGGTCATAGAAAGGTTATGTGATATGGTTCATAGAAAGGTTATGTGATATGGGTCATAGAAAGGTTGTGTGATATGGGTCATAGAAAGGTTCTGTTAAGGGTCATAGTAAGGTTATGTGATATGGGTTATAGAAAGGTTATGTGATATGGGTCATAGAAAGGTTATGTGATATGGGTCATAGAAAGGTTATGTGATATGGGTCATAGAAAGGTTATGTGATATAGGTCATAGAAAGGTTCTATTAAGGGTCATAGAAAGGTTGTGTGAAAAGGTCATAGAAAGGTTATGTGATATGGGTCATAGAAAGGTTATGTGATATGGGTCATAGAAAGGTTATGTGATATGGGTCATAGAAAGGTTATGTGATATGGGTCATAGAAAGGTTGTGTGATATGGGTCATAGAAAGGTTATGTGATATGGGTCATAGAAAGGTTATGTGATATGGGTCATAGAAAGGTTATGTGATATGGGTCATAGAAAGGTTATGTTAAGGGTCATATTAAGGTTATGTGATATGGGTCATAGAAAGGTTATGTGATATGGGTCATAGAAAGGTTATGTGATATGGGTCATAGAAAGGTTATGTGAAAAGGGTCATAGAAAGGTTATGTGAAAAGGGTCATAGAAAGGTTATGTGATATGGGTCATAGAAAGGTTATGTGATATGGGTCATATAAAGGTTATGTGATATGGGTCATAGAAAGGTTATGTGATATAGGTCATAGAAAGGTTCTGTTAAGGGTCATAGAAAGGTTTTGTGAAAAGGTCATAGAAAGGTTATGTGATATGGGTCATAGAAAGGTTATGTGATATGGGTCATAGAAAGGTTATGTTAAGGGTCATAGAAAGGTTATGTGATATGGGTCATAGAAAGGTTATGTGATATGGGTCATAGAAAGGTTATGTGATATGGGTCATATAAAGGTTATGTGATATGGGTCATAGAAAGGTTATGTGATATGGGTCATAGAAAGGTGGGTCATAGAAAGGTTATGTGATATGGGTCATAGAAAGGTTATGTGATATGGGTCATAGAAAGGTTATGTGATATGGGTCATAGAAAGGTTATGTGATATGGGTCATAGAAAGGTTCTGTTAAGGGTCATAGAAAGGTTGTGTGAAAAGGTCATAGAAAGGTTATGTGATATGGGTCATAGAAAGGTTATGTGATATGGGTCATAGAAAGGTTATGTGATATGGGTCATAGAAAGGTTATGTGATATGGGTCATAGAAAGGTTATGTGAAAAGGGTCATAGAAAGGTTCTGTTAAGGGTCATAGAAAGGTTATGTGATATGGGTCATAGAAAGGTTATGTGATATGGGTCATAGAAAGGTTATGTGATATGGGTCATAGAAAGGTTATGTGATATGGGTCATAGAAAGGTTATGTGATATGGGTCATAGAAAGGTTATGTGATATGGGTCATAGAAAGGTTATGTGATATGGGTCATAGAAAGGTTATGTGATATGGGTCATAGAAAGGTTATGTGAAAAGGGTCATAGAAAGGTTCTGTTAAGGGTCATAGAAAGGTTATGTGATATGGGTCATAGAAAGGTTATGTGATATGGGTCATAGAAAGGTTATGTGATATGGGTCATAGAAAGGTTATGTGATATGGGTCATAGAAAGGTTATGTGATATGGGTCATAGAAAGGTTATGTGATATGGGTCATAGAAAGGTTCTGCTAAGGGTCATAGAAAGGGTATGTGATATGGGTCATAGAAAGGTTATGTGATATGGGTCATAGAAAGGTTATGTGATATGGGTCATAGAAAGGTTATGTGATATGGGTCATAGAAAGGTTATGTGATATGGGTCATAGAAAGGTTCTGTTAAGGGTCATAGAAAGGTTGTGTGAAAAGGTCATAGAAAGGTTATGTGATATGGGTCATAGAAAGGTTATGTGATATGGGTCATAGAAAGGTTATGTGATATGGGTCATAGAAAGGTTATGTGATATGGGTCATAGAAAGGTTGTGTGAAAAGGTCATAGAAAGGTTCTGTGAAAGGTCATAGAAAGGTTCTGTGAAAGGTCATAGAAAGGTTCTGTGAAAGGTCATGGACAGGTTCTGTGAAAGGTCATAGAAATTATCTGTTATATGGGTCATGGAAAGATTCTGTGATGAGGATCAGGTGAATGTTTTGTGATATGAGTCATGGTAATGCTCTGTGATATTGGTCATGCCTTTATTTTTACTAATCTACTAGTCTTAACACTAGTTTATATTTGGATTGATGAATCATTTACTTTGTGAATCCTTATCAAACATGTACGAATAACTAATTATAAAACATTTGGTGCTATTCGACGTTAAAGTTGAGACCAATGTCACATGTGATATCATTGATAACAATGATTACTATAACTGTGGAGCATACCCATACCCGGTAACGACAATACAATAACGCATTTTTTTTATATCGTACCTATTCACACTACCTATAATATAATGTTGAGTTTACATAATAGTAAATACACACTCATAAAACACTTATATATAAGTTATACAGTATTATCTTCATGACTAACTCCTCTTGGGTAGATATGTAGATGTAGGGATATCAAACCCATCCCTGTACAGTGTATATCAAACACAGAGTTCCCAGTAGCCCCACCATCTATAAATATGCCATAAATATTCCAATCAATGGTATGGTCTTTTATTGAAAACCAGCCAGGCGTGGCCTTATTTTCACTATTTGGATATATTGAGATTTGGTATCGCAAAAGATAATAATCATATATTACCATATCAAAGGTGTTTTATATATTTATTCATTTTACAAATGCCTAGAGAGATTACACGACTGAATTTCTATGCATGGAGTAACAATTAGTCATGCCTTAGTGGGCATCACTTTTTGAGGATGCACGGCTAATGGAAAACGATATATTTCTGATATATGTTGGTATATATATACGTGCGGTTGCTATCATGCTTGAGAGATGTCTCTCTGAGGAACATATCGTAACTTTTGAATACATACCCATCAATTTGGCGTGACAGACTAATGATTGCGAGGTAATGAACATCACAACGCCATCGTTGTTCTATTCATCAGCTGTGGTCAGCCTGATTACACAGGTCGGTAGTTCTAGGAGAGATGTTCTATCCAGTAGCTTTGGTCAGCCTGATTAAACAGGTCGGTAGTTCTAGGAGACACATTGTTCTATCCAGTAGCTTTGGTCAGCCTGATTAAACAGGTCGGTAGTTCTAGGAGAGACGTTGTTCTATTCAGTAGCTTTGGTCAGCCTGATTAAACAGGTCGGTAGTTCTAGGAGACACGTTGTTCTATTCAGTAGCTTTGGTCAGCTCTTACAAGTTTGACGGCTGATTGTGACGTTCTCTCATGCGTACGGCAAGAATGTCATAAGCACGTAGATGTGCAAGTAACAGGGATCTCATTTTTCTGCACTGCACACCACATGTGGATGTTTTAATTATGTTTTACGGTCCAAATAGATATTTTCGTCAGTTGAAATGTTATGGCCTGGACAAGTAATCTTTGAAGAACATGACATAGAACCAGAACAGTGGGTCCTAATTCATTAGAAAGGAAAGAGAGACATAGTCATGTTATTAAGCTTACATATTCCATGCTCATTGTAATGAAAATCAAAATTATTATTTTAAGCATATCTATATTAGGTGCAACAGGAGTGTCCATTAAGGACACGTTGCAAAGTGCTTAAGAGAACATAACTATACAAAATATGTAAAACTGTTTTATTACTGTATAAAATATTAGTGTTCATTGTGAAAACAGGTTCAGTGAAATAGACAAAGCATTGTGTTGTCATGATAATCTACATTATAGAATAATGTATACGAAGTCACTGCTTTAAATCGTGCATCAATTTCAATGTCCGTGCTTAATCTTATTACATTTATTTAGTAGGCTTGATAAACATGTTGTTAGTTACACTTAGTTTCGAAAACAATAACTCTATAAATCCGTTCGTCACCACTTATATGATTATGACAATATGCATTTTAATAAATCGAATAATTGACTGACAATAGCTTTGTTTATTTGTGTGGTTTGTGTCATGTCAAACACGTTCATTCATTCTTCAAAAACTAATATTAATCATTTCATCACAAATCAGATTTCACAGAAATATACATTTAACATTGATATTCACCCTCTTTATGTTATTCATTCCTTAATACCTGTATCTGTTATACCACTTCATTGACGTGATAACATGTACAACAGGAACTTATTCTAGATAGTATACAATTTCTATAAAATATCCGAAAATATCCTTTTGTGACGCGACATAAATCGTCATAGCTCTAAGTCAAAATGAAATAAACTGTTCTGATAAACAGAGGCACTTCAACAAACATATATTAATCAGGTTTCATTTCATAATGTTCAAATGATGAAAAGGAAATGATCTATTATTCCGAACCGTATATGAATATAGCTAGATATAAAATATCTAACTAGATCCAAATCGTGATGAAGGGAGACAATCCACACGTCGATTAAGATGATTGGCACTCAGTCGGCAGTGTCGGTGTGGGCATACCCCAGTCTCGTTCACCTGCTTCGTCATGAATATTGTCGACAATTTCCATTTAAATGTTTATAGACTAGTCCAGCTATCTGGAACTCATTCAACCTATGAAAGAAAAGAAAAATGTCAGTGTGATCAATTGAATGGCAAATGTTTAAATAAATATGTAATCACATAGATTAATGTATGCGGAAAGTAGTATTGTGATATTGCAATAATCCAATATATTATACTCATCAAAACTCATAGGTAATGCTGTAGTTCGTTAGCTCATACTGAAAATTCGTTGTAAGAAAACCATTTAACATTACGGTTTCATGTAACTTACCTCTATGGCCTAACATCACAGCGGATTGCATTGCGGCTGAAACAGGAACAAGTATGGTGTCAATAGAAATGAAATTATTGTAGTTTTGAACGATTTTCTTATTTCAGTTCTAAAAGATTCAACAAAATAGTATAAGAAGCATGTCAAAAATTTGTAAAGAGTTACACAGGTGAATACTATTTTAAATATATAATAAAATACAGCCAAATGGGAAACTAAACTTGTCGAAATGTCGGAACATTACAGGTGTATTCATTTATTATAAAAATACGAAAATATCAAAGTTCATTCATAAAACAAACAATAACATTTCATCAGATAATATCATTAGTAATAAAAACGGATTTCTTGTAATTTTACTGTCCATGCATCACGGTGTGATATACATATTACGGCTACTCACCTTTCATCCTCATGGCTGATGGTGACGCTATAAATAAACATATATCAATTAGAACATCTATTGACAAAATGAATTTAACAGATATTTGCGCAGATGACCAATAAGTTGATATGCAAACATTTAGTCCAACTTTCTGAGATTTATTGTCGAATGATATTCCAAAATTCTAATTGAGTAAATGAATGTTGCAGATGTCCCTTTTGTCTGTTTGAAGTATAATTTAAAGACGTCCAGGTCATATCAATTTTCATGTCATTGTACACATTAAGAGATATTCAAACACCTTAACAGTCCAAATTTATATCCGTTGTTGTATTTCATATGTCATGCCTCAACATTTTTAAATATCTTTAAATGCTTGTCGTTTTCGGAGTAAAAGCCTTGAAGATTCAAACGTTATTAGGACATAATTCCGAGTCATTACATCAGGCATATTTTCCCTCACATTAATGTCATATGACCAATATCCAAAATTAAAACACATTATGACATTTTTTTTGCAAAACATTAAACATTTTTATAATTAACATAACCTTATTTATACACATGTTATACTTACTCGCTGCTGCTACCATATCTCCTAATACATCAGCTGAAACAGTATTCACAATGTCTGTATTACTAGGATTTTATCTTATCAGTTACAATCAATAAAATAGCAAAATTACGAAAATGTAATAGAAAATGTAAACAACATCTGAATCCAAACTCAGTTTCGTTGGAACTATGATAAAGTATGCACAAAAGATAGATTTACAAGCAGGTATCTGAAAATTTACATAAAGAGGGCAAAACCACATATTCCGGAAAGGAAAGCGTCTTCTGCTTCATCACCGACTCTCTTTATGTAAGTTTTAAATTAAATATAGTAATGCAACGTAACCACATGTCATACCAACGAGCATTGATGAGCTCCATAACGCACAGAAAAAAGAATATTTCTGAAAAATACCATTCCGACGTTCATTGACATTGGCATACAGTTTTCAATATTTGGAATAAATTACAGCTGATAATTCAAATATCATGATAGGTTGACAATTCAGACAGCATATAACTTAGATATTGATGTCACTGCTTACCTATTTGGTCTGGCGTTCTCCCGACTGCAACAATAATATAAAGGAAATTTGTATTTAATAATGTATATAAAGGATTTGTAATATTGTTGCTATAACATATGTGTAACTGAGTCATAATATTTCAACAACCGAATCTGCTACATTTACAGTTGTGAAGCTTTACAAAAATCAAGCCCATCTTGGACTTGTAATGAGTTACAGCTTTGTTGCAATTATTTAGAACTATGTATGGATATCGAGGAGGAGATATAAGGATATTCCCGAACGTGACATGACACTTTTTTCTGTTACACTCGTGGGCGTCTTTACTTGAGGTATATCAATCAAACTTTATTTATTTGTTTCAGGTCTGTAAAATAAAGACAACTATCGATATTTTTAAACAATCGCTTTCACAACTTAAAGGCACGTGGTTTTGATTAAACTTCTCTAGATTATGATTAAGTATTTTTGCTCAATTAACTGTGTTTCAGATTTGTAAGGGCAAGGTCATGAGCATTTTTAGCAGAAAATTCTGCACTGAAGCGGCTTTATTTCTTGTGGGGTTTTAACAATATTCAAATTCCTATAAAGGACGATAATATCGAGAACAATGTCGAGTCTCAGGTCAATGGAAGAGTGCAAGGTCATCGTTACTTAACAAATAATCCTTGTCAACAATCTCGTGACTGCTTTCTTAGAGGAATATTGATCAAACTTCACAAGTCAGTGTGCCCAAGTCAATTTTGGCCAAAAGGGGATTTGAATCGTTTGAGCTACATTGTAATCAGTGAATGAACAAAAGACACGCAATTGCGTGGCAAATTTTGATATTCTGTATAGCCACATAATGAAGTTAGATGCTTCGTACAGCTGTTTGTCCTTTTATGACTCGTCAGTGATTTTATAAGGAGGCGACTGAGGAAGCTCCAACATTATCGTAAAATTGTCAAAATTTAGATGCGGACACAATTAATAGATTTAGCAATTTTCTTATATCAGGAATTATATGAGGAATTCAACATGCATGCGCATTCTCAATCGTGCCATTTTTTTAATAAATTCAAACGTGTCATGCAGGTTATGTCAAACCTCGACGACTAAAATTCCACCAAAAGTTTCTAGCACTTGTTATCTCGAAGATTTTATAAAATACACATAAATGGATAGTGCTTTTTAACACGATGAGAGACGTTAGTGTCAAACAAGAATACAACTGTTTCCTAATTCCTTAAGTGTTAATGTCGCTTTTTTGGCTCGAGAAGCAAGAACTCCCCGTCAAAAATCACGTGGACAAGAAACTCCTGTTTCGTAATTCGAACTTGTTCAAATAATTTGTGCACTTTTCATCATGATAAGGTTATTGATTTACAAATAGTTTGTTATACTCACGTGATCGTAGCATGACAGCTTTGGCTGTAAAACGGAATATTGATATGTAATATAGATAATGTTATGGACAATGAGAACTTACATGCGTTAACATATTATAACGTTACTAGCTTTTGGTAAATGTGATCAATTGGATAATCTTATGACCAGGAAATGATACAGTCAGAAAGTGACATAAAATTTGAGGGCTATTGCATTCTCTGGTTATCTAGATAATCATGAGACAACGTAAACTTGAGAATTGAGAAAAGAAAATGGCAGTTAGAGATGTGAGACGAGAACTGTGAATCTACACTGAATCATCGGACAATGCTAATCAATACATTACCGACACGATATATACCAGTAATAGACATATGTTGCGATACTTACCCTCAACCTTTGGGGGCAGGATGATAGGATCTCCTAACAGAGATAAAATATATTTACTGCATCAGGAAAATTGTATCATAGAATGTTTATCTACAAATGTCACGATATAAAACAGCCAGGAAGAATAAAGATTCAATGTACTATGATTGACGAGCAGCAAATAACCATTCTACACTAGTAATGTTTACATGGAAACGTCGATGGCTGTTCCACATGAAGGATTATACAGGCAGCATCCAATAATATCTTTTAGTTCTGATAAACATATTGTAATCGATGAGCAAGTAAGGACATGTAATTATAAGCTAACACTTTAACATCGTACGTGTACTTAATGGTTGTGTGTCCATAAAATGTTATTATATTTTCAAGAACAATGTTTTTTATGCGGTAATGCATGTTATTGTGTCAGTTTGATAACTGATAACTTTTACTGACCTGTTTTCAATTAAAAAATTCCCAACGAAAACGATAAATTAATCAATGTTGTTATTTATATCCATTTAACCGAGTTTATTGTACCTGAATATTCGAGATGCATTATTGTATGGACAAGTTAAAATGATACATACCTGTACGGCCACGCATGTGAGCTGGTACGTCCATTATATCAGCTACAATCAGAGAAACAGTAATGACATATTGATATCATTATGTGGTTTGTTTAACTAGCCAAACTAAAAGTCTTTTAACATTATTTAAAGACAAAAACTCTGTGATTGACTACTTCGACTTAGCTTTTTTTTAATTTGCAAATGAATATACTCATTTCTCAAAAAGAAAGCAATATTTTACGTACTGTTTTATATTGATTTCGACTTACCTAGTATATCTCTTGTAAGACCTGTTTTAAATAAAGAAATAATAAAATTATTTGTAAATATTCGGTAATATTTATTCACCCTTTAAAGCCCACACCTCCCACAACAAGAAGTTGCCAATGCATAAATACAGCATTGCGTCTGTTATAGATTGTTTTAATTTTGTAAACATTTAGAAAATCTTAGAAGTTATCACCAAGTATCTTGGAGTGTATTATCATACAGATACAAAAAGGGATTCAATAGTAAACAATATTTACCCATCTGTTGATATTGTGCCACTGAAACAGAAAATAACAGAAATATTTATTCTGCTCAAATAACGATTTATCGGACAAGACAGTGGACAATTATAAGTAAAAAGTGAAATCTGTACAAATAAAAATAAATGGTCATTTTTTGTCGACAAAAGATAAGTATTTTTATTACGACGTTGACCGTTACGTTTTTTTTTCTTTCGGAACACCTGGTCAACCTCTTTGTATGCTTAGGTCGCTGATTGTCTTCGGTCCATATCTGTTCCCTCGTTTCATCAATTTTGAATTAGATTTAAGAGTCTGTTGACATGTCTATATCACCTGCGTTGTTATCGTCAAATGTCAAACGAACCTCTTGGTCAATGAAAGTGGTGATTTCATATCCAAACAATACTAAATATCAACGTCTGTATTTTCATTAATTAGCTATTGATCAGCTGATTCAGTGTCTGATGCTGCATTCCATTTCCACTTCCAACTTCTGAAGCTGAAGTTTATTAATTTACTTAAGAGTTCATTACACAAAACGCAAATATACATGTAACAACATGACACAAACTCACTTTTTGTTATCATCTGTGATGGCGTCAGTTTCGCCATGGCAGCAGTATCGTCAAGACTCGCTGGTACCCTGTTTACAGCGCTCCCCATCAATGCAGAGACTAAATATACAGAAAAGTAAAACTAGTAAGTATTCCGACTACTAATAGTCTACATTTTTTTAATGGTGCAGTGTTTGAAGGCAAAATCAATATTATATCACAACACCAATACTCACTTGCCAATGGATTCGCTGCGCTTTGTGCTGGTTTAGTTGCAGAAGCTAGCGATCCAAGACCGGCCATTCCACTTGATGTACCCATAGTGGACGAAAATCCACCAGAAGTTCCTCCCATTCCTGTTAATCCAAGAGCGCTGAGAGCTGCAAGATCACCACTTAAAGCACCCATAGAACCGCCAAGTGCACCCATCGATCCTAGAGTAGCAGCCATTGAACCCATACCAGTATTTAGTCCACTAGTACTCCCCGCCGTCTGCCCACTGTTGAATCCTCCCCCTAGACCACCGAGGGCGAACATGGCATCCATACCACTAAGGCCGGAACTCTGTGTTGGAGTTAAATGAGTGTTGAATCCTGTTGTTTGAGGTAGTTTTGGGACATTAAAAGGAGTAGGTGCAGGCTGTTGGGGGAAAGGCGTAGGTGGATTATGAACTGGAAAGGCAGTTGGTACAGGAGCTGGGAAGGCAGTATGTACAGGAACTGGAAAAGCAGTTGGAACAGGAGCCGGTAGTATACTAGGTGTAGGTGCAGGCTGAACAGCTGGTTTGTTGGTTGGCCAGATCTGATGACTAGAGGGCGACATTGTAGGTGGAGTGTTTGTCGGTTCTTGTGACACTTGAAGTAACAGCTGCAACATGATTTCTGCTGATATATTGTTTTGTCCCATGAAGGTCGTTAGCATCTGCATCATGTCCGGGCTCGATCCGCCAGCTGCTCAGGAATAAAGGTTATGTTTTTGTTTTAGTTTAGGTGACGAAGAAATTTTTATAATAAGAGCAAGAAATTGTCAAACATAAATAAAAAGGAATAAAATTATTGCTGACAACAAAGTATTATGTAGTTCATAGCTTGAGGACGGAACCTGAAATGTATATTCAAAATTACCTTATATTGTAAAAATTAGTTTTCCGTGCCTAATGTCTGGGATTAAGTCATGCTGATTTCATTTTGTTTCTATAACATAACTCCTTTATCAATTACATTAGAGATTGAGTTTCAATTCGCATTTAATGAATGTTCGCATGGTATATGTAAGGGTTACGTGTATTTCATTTAATTATTACAGTCATCCAAATCTATTAATACCGTTACAACATATGAAGGCTGTATTTTACTGAAATGAATCGTTCTATTGATTACAAGGACTTTAATATTAAGTCGTCTTAAGTTAAAACCACCAATAAATTTTAAACATCAATATTCAAGTTGGCTGTACATATTTCTACCATAATATATTATATACTGTGGAAGAAAACCTGTGTATTAATTGGAATTAAATATTTAGTGTGAAAGGAGTTGGTTTTATGGTCTTTGTTTTTCGCTACTTTTTTATGATGGATAAAACCGCGAAAATTCGATATTTTAAACATCAATTTTATGAAGGAGGCAGTAGTCAATTTCATGACGTCATCAAAGCATACATCCGTTTGACGTTAGTCCGCGAAATTTTAACCACCGGAAAAAAACCTAACAAAATTAAAAGAACCGAAATAACAGTCAATTACAAGATGTTGTGAAGATGATTATACACACTACCATACTGTTGTAAAATTGTATAATTTGTCAATAATACCGACAGATGTCATAGAAGTCAGTCAGTCCATCGTTATATATCGTATGATTTGTTGTAATAAAGGCACACTGATGAGCAAAACTGTTCCTTAAACAGCACACCAGATCATTGCTGATATTTCTGTTCTCCGTTTCATCGTTTGTTTTATCAATGAGTCCATTAGATGACGTATCGTGCGCGAACAATCTGGTATGTTGTACTAGTATGCATATCAACGAAATATGCCTCTTTAGTGTATGTGTTATTTATACTTGTGCATTCAAGAAATTTTTGTATTTGTGTATGCATTGATGAAACCAATATCTAATTATATTTTGAACATATCACCCATTGTTACCTGTATAGTTTATTTCTAAACTAAGGATTTCTAAAGATTTATATAGCAATGATAATAGCCTTTATTTTGTATATATATATATATATATATATATATATACTGGACCTACTGATAATGTAGATATGTATTAACAAAATTGATTTTAACGTCTGTACTTAAAATCCATCAGTATTTCTCATGAATTAACAGTTTGCGATGACGATATAAACCAACATACTTTACATGTTAATGATGTTTAACTTTATGTTTTTGTCCAGATATATCATACATATTAATGAGGTATTTACAAAAACGTTGCACATATTAACAATATATATATATATATATGGACTATTAAAACCGTTGTGCTGTATCTACTCTCTATCATGATAAAATTGTCAACTTTTATTTAAGTGGTATTCACCTGTAGTTGACACGGCACGTTTCTGTCTGCTATGTGAATAAGCTGAATCTGTTGATCTCTTCTTGCGAAGTCCCAGGCCTAACATTCCAAACGGATCTTCAAATCCAAATCATCAACGTTAAATCATTGCCTATTTATTCATTTCCATTAGATTTATGAGTACAAACAACAGTTGAATACTGGTTAATGTGATTATTGCTAGTTAATTGCTGATTAATGGTACACAATTTTACCGTATCTATTAAGTATGTAAGCACTACAGAAGTTCCCTCCTCTTGTTTCATAATTTTGTAAGTATTTATGCTATCAACATATCACTATTATAGTGAGTAGTTCTGAAACGCAACCACCTCGTTAATATTTGTAAGCGTTGCTATCACCAGTACACACCACACCTACATCCCATGTCTAGAAGTTATGTATTTGTAGTAAGGCGGTCTTGTCTTAAAGGTCTTGCAATACAAAAGTCGTTTTGTTTATACATGTTTTAATACTTTTAATTTATTCAGAATTTAGTTTCGTCATTAGAATTAAAACATAAGTCAACACTATCCGATTTAACTGCTATCTAGCAGTTTTATGAATAAAGTAATATGGCACTTTCTCCTATCTAATTACACTATCTTATCTAGAAATTTTGCAACAAAATTATCATCACACTGCTTCTTTTCTAATAACGTTTTCAAAAGCGTAATATCACACATTCTCTCGCATTTAGTGACTTTGCATAAAGATGAATATGACACTCATCCGTATCTAGTGATTTTGCAAAATAGTAATATGACACTTCCTCGTGTTTACTGACATCGCAAAATAGTAATTAGATACTGTATCATATCTAGTGACTTTGTTTCTACTGACATCGCAGAATAGTAATTAGATACTGTATTATATCTAGTGACTTTGTGTCTACTGACATCGCAAAATAGTAATTAGATACTGTATTATATCTAGTGACTTGGTGTCTACTGACATCGCAAAATAGAAATTAGATACTGTATCATATCTAGTAACTTTGTGTCTACTGACATCGCAAAATAGTAATTAGATACTGTATCATATCTAGTAACTTTGTGTCTACTGACATCGCAAAATAGAAATTAGATACTGTATCATATCTAGTGACTTGTTGTCTATTGACGTCACGAAATATATTCACAATCACAAATATACCACAAGATTAACACTGTCCCGTTTCCAGCGACTTTCGAAAGATTGATATAACATTTGTAACTCTTTTGTTATATCTCGCTTTGTTAGCAGCATTTCCGGTCTATGACGACTGCTCGCAGCTACTATTCAGTCATACAATCAGGTAAATGTTGCGTTATATTTATAAACCTATAAAATCACAGGATACATCTAGATGCATGCAAGGTATATAACACTTTAATGAAGGACTTTTATCAACAGGGAAATGTTTTACCTTTCTGGATATTAGTAAATTGCCTATCAGATTTGATACGCAATGATATGCTGATACCTCCTTTAGATTCCAACATCATTACATTATCACGTGATTTGTTGATGATGTATCGTATATTATCATGTCATTAGTATATCCCTATATACAGATGGCGCGACGGCCATTGTATTCTCATCGTGAACCCCTGCCTGCTTGGTTTATGTTTCTCCTTAAAATATACGAAAAGGGTCAGTCTGTGCTGAAGTGGTTTTTTCCTTTTGCAAGACATCCCCCTCCATATGTTGTTTAGTGAGGAAGCCATTAGGTACTACAAGGCGAACCCTCAAAAATGACCTTCATACTACGTTTTCCCGGTTCTGTTTAAAATTAGCGTCCATTAGTGTTTGTGCAAGTCAGTGTTCATTGCTGACAATATCCAACCAAACTAATATTGGTAGTTCTTAACTTAACTATGATAAATGCCAATAGGATATGCTCATATTTTAGTCACTGTAACATTCTAATAGTCAATATGGTGTTAACATGTCGTAAAACCATACCAACCAGGATGCCATGATACAAGTGTTAAGTATACAAATTATGTAGAGTATCTCCGAGTACACATGATAAGAATACTAGATAATATATGTATCGATGCATGCACTGTTCTATGTGTTTTATCCTGTTTGTTTGTAAATATAAATATAAATAAATCATGGTCTTGAAACTGTTTTTAAATGCTTCATATTTGTGTAAATCCGTCGGAAATACAGCTTTACCGCATGAAGTTCTGAATCCCATGAAACCATTCTACTTTAAAATTTAATTCCCGGCTTGATGAGTTATGTTGAGTCGGATTCATGGCGAGAGACGTGTTAATCTATTATTTAATATCATGAATTCTAGATTTCACAAATTATAACTAGTATGATCAGGTCATGATGATGGTAAGATGATGTTTGATGGATCTTATCATGCTCATGTAAGGTTAGACGTGTGTTTAATATGATAATGATAGCTATGTTTGCCATGTGTAAGTATTGATTACATGTGAAAGTTTTAGTATGTTATTAGTCCATATATATGTAGTACAAAATCTAATAACTGCAATACCATACTCTTATAACTGATATCAGATAGCTGACCTGTAAATGGTACTTACTAGGCTCCAAACTAACGATTAGATATATTTAGATATGTATTCTAATTACCTTCAAATACAAGGTATACAGATAAATACATGACAGCATTTTGACGTTTTGATAAAGTTGCTACAGTCAGAATTATGGTTTTGAGAGAAAGTTATATACTCACTTCCGCCGCCTCCAAACCCTACAATGAACAAACTTTAGATAAATTGTGAATTAAACAAGTAAATTCGAATCTGAAAATTGAAAAAAAGTAATAATAGAAGTAATATCATGATGATTTGACTGTGGCAAAGAACACTGTAGTTATCACGCTTAACATATCAAAGGGATATGTGAAGGTTTCAGGGGAGAGCATGCCTTTGGATTTCATTTTGTAGATTGTCTTATTTTCGTATATCTCTTTATCTTATTTTATTTTTGTATACTTTGTATTTGAATTTGTTTTTGTTTACAATTTTTGTTTGAATAGTACCCTCTCTCTCTCTCCATCCCCCCCCTCTCTCTCTCTCTCTCTCTCTCTCTCTCTCTCTCTCTCTCTCTCTCTCTCTCTCTCTCTCTCTCTCTCTCTCTCTTATATGTCATTTATATATCCTACATCGTTTCGTAACGTTTAGATACACGGACATCTGTTGATAATGTTTACGGTAAATGTCACTAAAATGGCCAACTCTGTATTACTCTAATGTGATTTTACATTTTTGATACTTGATAAAAACTTGATTATAAACCACACAATATCGTTAATGTTTTGTGCCAAAACAAATTTGTTCTTAATTTATGAAATATCATAACCTGTCCTATAATCATATATATGACACAGCAGAAAACATAGGAAAACGTTGTAAGCACTAACACAATCTGCTTGAGCAGCGTTTTTATCTCTTTTTTTAATAATATAATATAATATATATATAAATAAATACTTCGGTGATATATGATACGTTTGTAATGATATATAGATAAATATATAGGCATGTAGATGTAACATAAATATGTTTTTTTCATACCTCCCAAACCGCCGCCCATTCCTCCCATCGGTGCCTCTAACAGAAAATAATTAAATCATATCATTACTACACGCTAATGTGATAATAGATGAATATGACATTACTATGGCATTACTACAGACTATAACATATAACTAGAATTAATGCAACACTGTGATGCATCTACTAGAGCACAAGGCTTTGCATATTTTCCAAAATATCCAGTCAATTAGATTAAATTGTGTGACTGCTTTAAAGCTTAATGATAATTATGATTGATCCTAGACAGTGCATAAAAATTCAGAAAAAAACAGCGTTCGCACTGCATGTTTTCAGCTCTATGTAGACAAAATGATAACTGCGCCAACTTAAACACTAATTATGATACGAAGTCTCAATGAGCTTTCAAAGTGATCTACAAGGGATAGGTATGATACAAGGCATGCCACGACACAAGGATAAATCACATGATTAATTATGTTCTAAGCAGGACACACTACAGAACTTACATTCCAAACTTTTGATCACTGAAGTTAATTACATTCTAATCCCTCAAAAGTCTTACCTCAAGAAATTAGAAATAAAAAAAATATTCTAGAAATATCAGAACCCCTTTTTGCTGCGAATACCTCGCTATGTTTCTAGCTGTCACCAAGACCACGTGACATTTTTTTATGTAGACTCGATTAACGTTCTATAACATGTAGTGCTGTTAGAAGATAAAATGTTGGATCTGATGTTATAAAAAAGCAAAAAATCAGGTACCGCTATTGTTTGTTAAATTGCTGCTTATTTTGAATTATAACAAAAATAAAAGTAATCAATCGACATTCTTCTATGTCGATAAACCTGATATATGATAAAGTGAGATAAACCTGATCTATGATAAAGTGAGATAAACATGATATATGATAAAGTGAGATAAACCTGATCTATGATAAAGTGAGATAAACCTGATATATGATAAAGTGAGATAAACCTGATAAATGATAAAGTGAGATAATCCATATATATGATAATGGGAGATAACCCTGATATATGATAAAGTGTGATAAACCTGATATATGATAAAGTGAGATAAACCTGATATATGATAAACCTAATTAATGATAAAGTGAGATAATCCTGATACATGAAAAAGTGAGATGAGCCTGAGTTCAGTGAGATTTTTAAATCAGTTATAGCGACATTAATGGTCGGTGGTTGTATTCACGTTATCGTAAGATGAGTTTAGGGCAACAACACAGCTAGATATCTACAAGTAAATAGATAAAAGATTTCATCATCATGTTGACTATGAATCTTGACCTTCAATGATACACATTCTCGTTTCATATTAATGATTTTTTTCGAAACACATCGATCTTTGACGTTTGCACGAACATATCTGGCCTTTAGATTAATGTCATGATGTTTTTTTTTTATATTAGAGTACTTTACATAACGTATTGCAATAACGTTGTGCCAGGCATCATCAGAATTTAAATTCAAAATGTGCATGTACTAAGTGTAAACAGCTTTAGACTCATGCCATGCACTAAATGTCAGAGAAATAACATATGTTGTTTTCCTTTCGTTCATACATCATACAATATTACGACAAAAATCTTAAGATAGTTAACAGGAAAAGTTGTTAGCACACGAATGGATAGCTGACACTAATACTACACCTATACACACCTCCAGCCTCTCCTGTACCTGTAAAAATCATCAAGTTGGTGTTTGCGTCTGATACGATGTTTGCTGTTATTATTTTCTAGTTTCAAATGGCAAGGTAACGTTTTCAATCACTTCCGGTAGAATTTTTATTTTTATTTTAATGAAAAAAAATTGTTTTTATAAATTTTGTTCTCACGACGTGCTGGTGATTACCAAAACTTATTTCTTTATCGTAGACGTTTGCTAAATTCTGTTTTTTGGTTCGCTTGGTTTTTTTTTTTTTTTTTTAATTTTTTAGCTGTTAAAAAGTAAGAAGATACCATATACTATATGAATGCTTACTTTACACAAACACCTTATTATGGTCCCAGAGACGGACTGTAACTGACATCTCAGGGTAAAATATTATTTGTCACTTGAAATGTGTTGTTATGAAATGATATTTGATAGAATAAAACAATAAAATTACGTGATACCGTAAATCATGTATTATTTATCATAAATCCTTGCATAATTTCGTAGCATTAATGAGTATCAGTTTATCGTTTGGCCAGTTTTAATGGCAAACAATTGACATGTACGTATGAAGCGCCAGTTCATTATTTTGGTATATGCTATACTGATTCATTGTCTCTATAAATCAGATGCATTCTTCAGTTAACCACTTGTATTTAAATGTATTTAAGTGTACTCTTAATTTTCCGATCCGCATCATTACAAGTGATAAAGGTAGATTACAAGAGTATATCACAGGTAAATAAACGGATGATTACAGGTAAATACAGGTAGATTACAGGATAATTACGGGTAGATTACGATCATTTTCTTACCTCCACCTCCGCCTCCTAACATAGACCCGAAAAGTCCTGAAAGACGTGTTCACACTATTAGCTAATTAACCCTTAGAATACATGGGTGTTCCAGTTATAATGCATTCACTACCTAGGCGATAGGTAGTTCCAGCACTGCGAGCACATCAGTATAGCGACTCATACACCGGTCGAAAAATATCAGAAATCTCGTGTAAATCACAAAGCATTAGAGTGTTTAACATTTCACCATTTATTGACTGATCTAACCGTTAGTTGAACATTAATAATATTATAACTACGTTATATTAGACAGTGGTATATGAAACGGACCTTAACGTACTGGGTAGATATTGTCCGAATCAGCAGCAGACAGGAGTATTCAACGTTATAAGCAATGCCATGTTTCTAGTATTTCTAGCATACAGTTGGTTGTTTTAGTCTTATACCACCGCTTTATGTCCGTGTATTGAAATAATAATAGTACATGTACATATTGAAATCATGAGTTACCTCCCATTCCTCCTCCACCGCCTCCCATTCCCATCAGGGCGGACATCATATCTGTAGACGAACAAAAGGAATATCTCACAGGTAATGGTTAATGTATTTCGATCAGTTATAAATCACAATAATATTCTACTCCGTCCATAGTCATCCAGCTACATTACATGTCCTTGCTTTACCTCACACTTCAGTGATCATTGAAAACAAAATATTACGAAAGTGTCAAGATGAATTCTAAGCTTACGAATTGATGTGATAACATTTTTTTTATATCATGCAATCTCTTAACTTTACGTCATATTACCGAAAAAATTACAAGAGAAAATGTGGCGACATTCTGTAACATTCTTTATGTCGTAAAAGTGAATTTGAACTCCTTGATACTCTATTATCTTTTATGAATAATGTTATGTATAATGTCAGTAAAATGAACCCTTCCTTGAAATGCTATAAACTTCGGTCAGTCTATAGAGAGCAGATACACACTCCTTAATCACACGTTCAGATATACATACCTCCTCCCTGACCTGAGCCAGATCCTTCTGCGGGATTTCCTAATAAAGAGAAGATTTGTGGTACTTAACAGGAAAGGTAAAACATGTTTTGTACCGCAATAGTGACACTAGTTGCTGTTATTCAGTTTTGCGTAGCAAAATTTTAAGAATTATTCAATTATTCCAAATGACATTGTACCTAACACATCTATCTTCACCAGCCTTACATTAAAATCACAAAGATTATAACCAAATGAGATGTAGCCTACCTTCAGCAGGAGACGATGTGGGCTGGTTACCTCCACTACCGCCGGAACCCCCTCCAGACCCACCCATCATTTGAGAAAACATGTTTGCCATATTCATACCGCCGCCAGCTCCCCCTCCGCCGCCAAAAAGTGCATTTAGGCCGCCCATACCGCCCATTCCTCCAAGTGCGCCCATCATGTCACCCATTCCGCCTCCACCCCCCATCATGTTACCTGTTTATCAAAAACAATTTGTCCTCAAGCATGGTGGTATATCTGAGTTACATAACACAATGGATATGGAAATGTTAACTATGATTTTTCGACGTACTGAAAATAAAGATTTAGCATAATTTGAAGGAAGAATAAACATCGTTTTGTGAATGATTAATGGGCAACATTCTCAAATTGTCAAAGTCAAGCATATTAACACACTTTCTCAAACACATTGTACAAGTACATATAGATGATTATGAAAGGGAATTTATGAAACATTCACAAGAAATATAACCGAATCGAGTCTGGTATTACACATGTTAAAAATGAAAAACAAAGATTAAATGTGCGGCATACTTTTTATGATGAAATATGTCTACAGTTTTTAAGCCAAATTTTATAGTCGACCCTAATGAAACCCGATATTACGATGGAAATCAATCTTTTTAATGTGCGGTTAGGGTTCTAAAGACTAAAGATGGAATCTAAATCTGTTACTGTTCGTCACGTAAAAATTAGTCAAACTTAAAGATTAAATCTGTTAATTTTAGCGAATGCTAGGCATATTTTGCTTAAACACTGAATCATCGATTTTTGTTATGAAACAAATTTCAAATTGACTATAAACAATTCGGTATTCTTGAAAATCTCCATAAGCCACAAATATATTTTTTCCTTAAAGGATAAAAAAAATAACGTATTTAGTTTAAATGACTGCATTACAGTGTAAAAAGGGATAAGGCAACCATACTTATCTATCATCGATACAAACGAAGAACAATTACCTGCCTGCAGTAGACTTTATCTAAAATGGTTTAGTACTTACATAGAATTAGCAAGAACACAAAAAGGCCAACTAGGAAAAAGTCATTATTCGAACTCGACAAAATCTAGGACAAAACATAAAAAACTGAAAGCTTTACTCGGCAATATCTAAAACAGGGACAATGAGAATAAGAGCATGTGATTCAGATTTTGTTTATATAACTCTTAACAGTTTACATCGATTCTGAGAACAGTTATGAACAGTTTTAATATCTTTACATTAAACTTTTGATGGTCCATAAAACATATTGAATATGTGGTGCTACAATATACGATGTAGATAATAACAACAGCGGTGCAATTCATGCAGTACACTTGTGATGACAGATAGATACAAACATGCAGGTGAATTATATATATAGAGGAGTGAAATTATTCATGCGTCGTACAATGTAGAAAGAGGAATGTTTCTGAATGGTGCTAACATGTATCAATTGCAGAGAAATATGTTATAACAAAATTTTAGCTGTTATTTTGTTATAGACATGCTGTATCTAAACTATTTTACAATATTTTACATAAACAGTGCTGACCCTTCGTCTGTTGGGTGTTAATAGACACCTTATCAAGATCTTCCACGGTATTCCGGAAACGATTAACGTTTAAAGAAGAGTAATTTTCACATATTGGAAAATTGGGGGAAAAATTCCGCAACAGCGATATAGACTTTATAACAATTCAGAATACCGAGGAGTTCCGAACAGTAATCAGTAAAAGAAACCTGAGAAATTTCGGAACATTATTGTTCACTTACCGGTACCCTCGTTCTGTCCCATTCCAGACAGTAGACCTGAGCACATCAACATAATATTAAAACAGTGAAGAGTAGGACCATGATAACGATTCAGGGGTATTCCCCTTAATGTATGGGAGTTATCCGCTCATTGTGAGGTATATTCTGAAATAGTTTATTTTTGAGAAAAATGCAAACAGATTGTAATTTCTATGGTTGTCATACAACATTAAGTTTCTAAAATATAAAATGATCGTTTCCTTAGCATATTTGAACTATCTCTTCGAGAAGTTTGTGAGTTTTGTTTTGTGAACAAATTTCAACTGCAAACCTTTATTATAATTTTAATACCATTCTCGTTTGCATTCCCTCATAAACTACAAAAAATGAATTCGTGGACTGGACTAAGGGGATATGTGGATTGGACTAAGAGGATGTGTATCGGCATGGTTCTAAACATTTAGTAAAGAACGATATTTAAAAACACCAGGACAGTAACGGGATATTCATGAGTTGGTCAGATAGTTCGTTTCATTGTCTGGATATTTTTTATCAATTGATAATAATTAAAGATTAACAACATAGCTGGTAGATATCGTCACATATTTTTCATCATTTCATTTTTAATCGTAAGGTTATTCTTGGCATTTATATACTGGCACCTTCATAAGTCATTAATGACATTGCATGGTATAGATCGGTTTTAAGAAATTCACAAAAACAAAACCATATATAATTAGTGTCACAATAGCAAAAGTTGGATTTAATCATTAAAACACATACGGAAAAGTATGTTTCTGACCAACACATTCTGGGATTTTAACAACTACAACACAATGAAAATGAAACACAAATGTAAAACGGATGAAGCACATTAACACATATTAAAAATTTCCAATCACAATGTTGGTTTTTTTTTCTTCTGAAATCGAACAAATATCACAAATGCATATTTTACAGACCATAGAACACTAAAGCTATCAGCATTGCAACTAGATGATGCTTTCTTTCGACACAGGTTTATCATTGATCAGTAATTTATTAGAACATTATATGTGTCCTCATTATTTCAAGTTTTCAATACATACTCATCATCATCATTGATCCAAGTCCTGAAACAAAACAAGAGAAGACAAATTATCTACAATGTAAGATTTGAAAAAAAAGATTATGTATTATCAAAACCTTTGAAAGTGGTAATGAACATTTTTCACAAAAAGGTGTCATATTTTAGATATTACACACTTTCTAAAGAGGCGACGTACTGTTTTTAGAAAGACGGTGACCATTTTTATGTTAACACCCGATGTAAACATGTCTAGAGCACTATTGGAAAGATCTTCAGAAAAGGTATCTAACACAACCCATGTAGAGGAATGTAATTATATTGTTATGTACATGTTGAACAATTTCGCAATATTTTGTAGACAAACTCAATTGAATATAAATGAATATACCCCAAAACCAACACAATATGAAGCGACATATTTGCTTTTAAATCAAGCAAAAGCTGGTTTACTAATGTAAGAAATAAACATTTTTTTATAAAGTCTTATTTGCCAATTTTTTGCGGGCTGCTTGTTTCCGAGGTAGTTTGTGTCACCATAAAAAAATTATGTCGTTAAGGCGCAAGAAGATGTTTCTATTTAAAATTTCATTAATCACTTCATAAACATACTACCATTACTTGTAAGAATCAAGCTAAGACAGAAATAACAATATACCTCCTTCTCCTAACCCGGGTCTCTCTCCTGGTTCTGGAACCTCCAATCCACGGGCTGCAAGGTATAGTCATCGTATAAAATACTATATATTTATGAAGTCTAACCAGTTATATAAAATTTCAGATATTTCTAGACAGATTCAGTTTATAAATAATTGAAATTAAAATTGAAATTAGTTTATTTCATCTTTTATGAACTCCTTTATCTTAGAGATGCATAACAAAATAATTGTTAATTGTTCACAAAACAACTGTACCTCTAAGCATGCGGTCCCTCATCTGTCTTTGCATCATCATATCTGTACAACAATAAGTAAAGCTAGTAAAGAGTCATCGTGTTTGAAAAAACAGTTATCATATAGTTTAAATCGTATGAATAAAATATCAAAAAGAGCCGTGTCATCAAATCTCCATCAACATTAAATACCAGCAAACCAACGAAACTGTCTTGAAATTTCAGAGTTGTCTCCCTTACCTCAATGACAATCTTTGCCTTGATGAAAAATAAAATATATTGTTCTAATGATCATTCCGATTGCATATCTTTTCTGGGAATTATTATTCTATATATTTTGTCTATTGTCATACAATTTCTTGTAACTCAACTGGCAAAAAAGAATGTTTTATGATAGCCTTCACCATTAAAGCATACACATTTGCACAATGGAGTATTACTAACATCAGTGAACTTGGCGTTCTATGTTTTCAGTTTTTGATAAGTAAACAAACAATACATGCACGCATGCTCAGAGTATTACAGGACTTGTACAGATGATGAAAACTACTCAATATTCCCAGTGTTAGTATGCGTCTCATCTCTACGTCGATCAACAATCGTAGATAGAAATATGATTTTCTGCAATATTAGTATATTTCTATAACGCAGTAATTGTTAATGTGGCTCATAACTGGAATCTGAAAGCAGATTCATGCTTAGATAGCGTATACACAACAACACTAACAAATATTATTTCCTTTATAATAAAGCCTGGATATGTCAATTGTATATCAGTCATATGAACGTTTATATATAGGTAAAGTGCTAACTAACTAAAGCCAAGATATATTGTTGTATTGATCAGTTGCTACTTACTTCGCCTCATTTGCATAGGATTAAGGGGTCTACCTGGTGTTTAAGCATATATAAATCAGAAAGGTGCTATTTTATTGACGATTTCTTAATCAATATACTGTAAAAAATCTGTCGATTGTCTTTTTCATCATATCCAAGAGAAAGGATATACACAAACACCTGTTGTATAGTTAAGTAATGAAATCGTCTGTTTTATATTTACACCGAAGTATGTGTTTCTTCAGTACAATTTGTCAATTTCTTCTTAGCGATATATTTACAATAGTGGTTTTGTGATGCTAATGTGAGAAAAATGTTAACAGGATGCTAGGTAAACATAATTCAATGTATTTAATTTTCTAGTGATTGAATCTAAAAGTGTGATTGTTTCATTTCGTCATTTAAAAACCGCATTTATCTTAGATTTTGATAATGCCACATTACGGCCTGTTACGAAATATGTCTGTAGATTTATCATAGGTGGTGTACCATGCCACAGTAAGGGTTTGTTACGAGATATCTGAAAATCTATTATAGATAGTGTGCCATGCCACAGTAAGGGTTTGTTACGAGATATCTGACAATCTAGTATAGGTTGTGTACCATGCAACATTAAAGGTCTGTTACTTGATAAATCAGAGAATAACTAAAGGAGATGAGAGCATGGTATACTCACTTCGCCTACGATTCAATGGACCTAATACAAGTAACGTGATAGCACTGTGAAACTATACATGCATTACGTGTTGATGTGACTGTGACTGATAACTTTATGCAACAACACAACTCTGGTAATAACACGTTATTTGTCGTTGTGATCTCTTGAAGTTTCTTGAAATTGGTTTTGTAGCATTTTGGTTGCTACAGACGTATTAACTCCCATCTTTGCAATATAATATTTGTACAATGCATCAACTAGTGTTATACATAGGTCAGAAATCAATTGTATAGTAGGCATGTGGACAACGACAATGGCTCATCGATTGAAAATGACTCATCGAAATGCTGCGCTGTTCGAATTTGTTCTTATCTTAAACTTACCTTTTATGGGTAATGCAATAACGGTAATTAATATTTCTTTATTCTGTATTAGTTTTTATGAAACTGGTCTCAAAGTTGGAATGTTTGGTCGACAGGAAAACAAAATTCAACGTTTTTTAAGACTCGTTCCATATCACCTTACGAATTCAAGAATCACTGAAGATCTTTATATATAGCGACGATTGCTTTGTATAAGATATAAGTGGACAATATTACCCAACTAGTTAACTGCAAAATCATTTGTATTTTCCGTTACAATTGCAAACTAACGATACTAAAATCGTATCCTTCTAGCAATACAAGCAATCGTTGAGTAAACATTTAAATATTCACGACAATCTAGGGAATCATTGAAATAAAATAAGTAAGTAAAAATCTACATAATCTTTTTTTGTGTCTTTTCGAGTGCAAATGAAAAAACCCAATCTCTAAAAAGGATTTGTCGTGATGTCGCGTGAGGACGCAGATAGTTTTTATGTGATTTCGAAAACAAATAGTAAATATTTATAATAATGCATGTCGACAAAGATGTCGTGCCTGTGTGTATTATTTTGTTTAATCATAAATTCAGATGAAAAGTAAGATCTCTGAAACACATATGGACTATCATTCAATTTCTTATATTCTAAACAGAAATGCAGCGGCAGTGTTCGACTACTAGGAGAGAATAGAAGACAGAAAATCATGTATAAAGCGCAGTCTATCACGTGATCTATTTTTAAAGGATTCATTACCTCTACGTCCAGGTCCTCTTCTGCCTTGTCTATTTGGTCCTCCGGGTCCTCTCCGTCCTCCATTAGGACCACGTCTTCCTCCTAAGGGAAAGACAACTCATCTAAGTAAGAAAACCATGGGTAGCTTATTTTAAGTAAATAGTTTTTCGTTACACATGCTGTGAGTTTTTATTCCAATCCGTAGGTATATAAGGATCTCTAGTATCATTGGACAGTTATCGTGGAACACACCGGACATTGTCGCTGCAAACGTGTGAAATAACTACCTTATGACTGCAAGGTTGAGAGGTTTTGCATTCAACAGTGTTAACTAGTATGATGTATGAAAAGCAACGCTTATCTGGTGCAACTGCCAAAGTGACAATATGTTTCCTATATAAGCACTAACACCAAAAATAGAGCATATTTCATAAAGTTCTATCTATAACATCTGTAGAGTCCTTGTATGTACGGATATCTAAGACAGTTTTATACCCCTACAACATGGCCCAACGTCACTTTTTATCCCCATGTGCAATTTTAGAAATATTTGCATTCTAGATTTTGATGAAAATTCCGACGGTCAGACGGGAGGACACCCTGATTACAATAGGACATCCACTTCCGGATGCCGGGATTTAATTATCTTCACTCATAGTCTAACAAAAAGGCATATATGAATTATCACTCAATTACATAAGCCGGCATTATGTAGTTATGCCATTCATTAATAGTAATGTTGTAAGTCGTTGTGAAAGAAATTAGAATATACAGATTCCTGTAGAGTTAAAGTGTCCCGAGCAGGACTAGTAACCCGGTCTCTGGTGTGATAAAAGTCCGGCTCTAAACAAATGAGCCAAAGACGCATGCTCCGTCAGGTGAGTGGCAGAGGTCATGTTTAACACAATATACAAACCACACCGTTAATACAAACTCATTTACAATAAGTAGATTATGCCATAATATTAGTATGTTTGTTTAGTTTTATATATTTTGTAATTATGTTTAGAATATGTTTCGTTTGATATCATATGACCAACCATTAGTACAAACAGCAGAATTACGTTGCATATATAGGATTACAATTACCATCTTTAACCACTATACCAGAACCTGCTGTCCTTGCTTCTCCATTCATATATTCTCTTTAAGACAACAAACAATGTTTGGCCGATAATTGTTATATATATGAGACATTAGAACTTTGATCTCCAAGCCGAACAACTTTATCAAAAAAACATGTTTTACGATAATAACTCCATGCACTAAGCACACACAGCAGCTTGAACTGACCTTTACCGCCATTTGGTCCAGGACCACCTCTCCTTGGTCCACCTTTAATTGAAACACTGTATTTATATATGTAGATGTTTTTCTGCCTTTTTGTGTTTTTGTCTTGTCTGCTTTCGCGTGAACAAACCTCATTTCGGTTGTGTTTAGATACCAACAAGAACAAAGAAAGTATTATTGATATAGTATGTCATATCATAGGAGTTAATACTATTCTCCTCTAACGATTCGTCTCAGTCGTCTTGATTGTGTTCTATGTCAGCCAAGTTTTTTCCCCTCGTCATTTTGCTTGTTTTAATATACAAAAGGATGATATTACGTTCATCACTCAGGTATATGTGATATGTAATTTATTTCGGAGCTACGACAGTGAAGCCTCACTTACCATTAGGACCTCCGCCGTTTCTCATCGGACCACCACGTCTGTTTCCACGTCTCATTTGACCTATAAAATATGTTAGTAGATAACATAAAAAATGGAAAAGACGATAGCGCGAATTCTTTTAATTCATACCCAATTATTTCAAAGAGAAATATTTAAAGCAAACCTTTCCAGTTACAAAAACAAACAGAAAAAACAATTTTTTGATGTGCATCTGATTAGACTACATATTCATTTTATGGTTTTTCACCAGGTCAAGTGCGATGTTGTAATTATAGTATTCTTAAACTGTAACATTCTTAAAGTTATTATCATTCTTCACTTCATCGCAATCGTTAGAAGAAAATCTTATAATTTGTAATATAAGTTCTTCTTACTATCGTTGTAAACATAAGGAAGATATATGAGACATTAGTGGCTTAATAGTTATATAAATATATATATATATCTATTATACATACCATTATATTGTACAATGTTAATAGTATCTCTTTCATAAGATCTTTTGTACTTTCTTGAAACGATAGGTCAAAATTCAATCTCGTGATAAGACAATCATTATAATATGAATAACCTTGTTATCTAACTGAACCAATTTATTCTTTATTGGTCAACCTGGCTATCATTGTACAGAATAGGTTACTGAAATGGACTAAAATTAACACGACAGATTCAGTAGGAGTCGATGAAACAGACGATGACCCATTTTTCCTGTAGCTTATCTTTTCGAAATATTTTCAGCTGAACCCCTTTTTATGAACTCGACAAAAACATTTATCAATATTTAATTTCGTTGATATGAAAATATAAATTAGATATAAATTTCATTTCATTTTCTGATATAGGATATTGCAAAAAGTCATTTAAATATCGGAAACATATTTAATGTACTCGTCTTATGAGTTTGCCAGAGAAGCCACTATTTAAAGAAATTATATATTTTTAATCAGTTTTGAATACGTGGAAGTTTTAAAAGCCCAAAAATGAAGAACAGAAAAAGCAATTCCTGACCGGTGAGTTCCAGACCCCAACGGTCCCTGTAATCTTTGTAATGAGTGTGTTGTATTATTTCACAATGTTGACATATAGTGGTAGTAAACTTGTAAGTGAATCAGTAGTTATATTGTATTAAATACACTATCAAATAATTGTTAATTGTCACCAGTAATAATAGGTCACCTTGCTACTAAATCATACATGTAATTATAACTGAATACGTTATGTGTCACCATATTGCCCTCTTTTTACCTCAATGTGTTAAATTATACATTATATAATGTTAAGATATTACCGAAATTGATATTTACGGATCTGATATATAAGATGTAGTTGACAGTGTGCCTAGCATAAAAAGCCCTCCCAGATCCAAGTGTTTATAATACAATGGAATCTATTTAAACCGGACACCTTTGGGACTGAATAATTCAACCGGTTTGTAGATACTTCCGGATTGTAGAGAGTAAACTATTTGACCGGCTTAGGCCGATATCTTACACAGAATCTGGTTTAGACAGAGTGCATTGCATAAACAAATCTGAACCGCAAAAATATAACATGAAGTAATGATATACACTGTATTATATAACAAACTGTGCTCAATAGTATACATTTAAACAAGTAAACAGAAACTTTTAATATAACTTGAGTGTTAGAAATGTGTGGATTTTATTTCGTTAAAGTATTTGGGGTTATGAGATAGTTTTTGGTGCTTTATCAACCTGCAAAATACATAAGACATGTATATTTATTCACTTATAAAGGTGTGATTTCATATATAGAAAACACTAGTTTCATTTACACATCAGTAAATCATCGTTAATTACATTAATTGGGTAGGTGGTGATGTTACAAAAGTAGACGCATACAAAACGTTACATGAAGGGAGATAACTCTAACTGAATAAAATCATCACAGAAACAAGACAAATAATGAGTAAAACTTCATCATACAGCTGTTTCATTCTTCCACTACTCGTCCGTTTACATTTTAGGAAACTAGAATACTACTTAGAAAAAAATCCAACAGGAAGATGAAGATGTGCTTTCCCTATAATTGAATCCATTTCGTAATATTCTTATATTTAATAATTCAGAAGAACGTCACGTATGCAAGCTGTCAATAAATACAGAGGACTCAATATACCCCATACCAACGTCAGCCTAATTAACGGTTTTCCTCAATAGATCTAAAAGTGTTGATATAAATATTACCTTGGGTACAGAATGCATCGCTTCATTCACAGACTACGACAAACATATATTGCGGACGATACTTAATGGAAGATGTACCCGATAAACAATATCGTGATTATGTTTCATGAGGGGAAAAAATAGAAAATACGTATTCATAATCATTTAGTAATTAACGAATAAAATTTCAAGTTTCAAAAATTTAAGTAAGTATGTTAAATGTAAGTATGTTACTAAAACATGCCATGTTTGACATATAAATCTGATAGATGTTACTGTAGAGTTAGACCGTTACACATAGTATGCTATACAAATAATTTATCTAACAGTGCTGAAGAAACCTACGAAGGAGCCGACGGTCCATTGGACCAAGTTCTCCACTCATAAGGCGACCTTCACCTGTAACTAGTAGTAATAGACAGTGACCTCGACATCAAGAGATTGTTTACATAAATCAGGAAAAATGTCAAACCATTGTAAATCAAAGGTACTTATTACTTTCAAAACGAAGTTTTTTATCACCAATACACAAAATCGTGTACTTAACCGCAAATAACTTTCAGTAAATTGAATGTTACTATCTTTTAACAAAAATGTAATCGAACGAATAATTGAAAGATTTAAAATATATTTCAGTACACTAAGTGAGTTTACGTTTAAACATTTGGTCATTTAATAAAATATCAATATTAATGAAGAAATTGTATATTAGACTGTGACTTTTTGTTACCTATCTTTTCTGCCATGTTCGCCTGTGCCATTTGTCCCAGAATATCCATTACTAACAGAAACAGCAAACAAAAGTTTGACATCGCAATGCTGCTTAAATTAATTCACGTCAATGTTACAGATAGTTTGATTATTACCATCTGGTATAAGCTTATACAAAAAACACACAAGTGAATAACACTTTTTAATACGAATCTGGAACTGGAAAGAATAGAGTCGAATAATGAAATAAACCTCGGTATAAAGCTAATTCGTCCTTCTGAAACTCAATAGTGATACCAAGTCCTGATTTTGCGTAACATGAAATAAATCGTTTTAACAACGACTGATCTGTGAACTGTAATTTAACGTCACCTTTACGGTCTTACCAAAATTACAGTTGTAAAAAACATTCCGATTAAATGCCAGTCCGTATAAATAAACTGTAGTATTCATTATTATCTTTATCATTTCCACACCGTTTTGTCAACGTTGTTATTTCCTGAACTTTAAAGCTAAAAAAGGATTGCCGTGTAGCATTGACGAACAATGCCGAATATTATAACCCAGCACTAGTTACAGATGAATCATTAAATTAAGGAGTCCTGCTGTCTGATGTATTTAATTAACATTTATGATATGATGCATCTTTAAACGACAGTGAACAACGAAGGACACTTCAGTGAGGTAAATACATACGTTTATCAATATTTACACGGCAATATTTTCCTGTTTCAATAATTTAGTATTGTCATATAAAAGTCTCATAAACAAAATTTCAGCAGCTGATCATTAATAAAGGCAAAAACCGGTGACGATATACAGTTAGTATAGCTGTTCCACCTTGTGGATCACACAACCGATTATGGACAATTTGTTTTCTGGTGTATTATCAATATTGTCTCCACAAGCTAACAGTATAATCGAATTGAGTTAATCATATATATCCCCTATAATGTAAGTTAACAGCGACTTCGTCATTAGATGATCAGACGAAGAAGTACAGGGATCATTATAGAACCCTTGATATGTGTGTTATATATAGATGTCCAATATTTTCGACTGAACTTTTTTTCTCATTGTGTTTTATCTTTAATTGACAAATATTTTGGAAAGTGATTATGTGAAGAGCTAGAAAAAATACATCCTGGAGCCTACATCTATGGACGATACGTTACGCCTTATCATCGTATGTGATCCACATTTTCTGCTTGAAATAAAGCCATTTCTTTTATTATATCCTCTGATAAGCTAGCGTGTCGCAGCAATGCGCCAATAAATATAACTGACCTTGTTCTTTTTCTCTTCCTAATGAAAATATACGATGTAAGATGTCAATTCATCACAAATATAAATATATATTACAAGAATTAAGTGTTGAGCACAATGTGATAAATCTCACCAAACATTGTCGTGATAACTCTTACAGTCTCTTATACTACAGGTAAAAACATAAGTTATTATAAACATTTATCTGCGAAAATACAAACATTCCACATTGAACCAGTAGAGCTCCTAACATATATAAGTGTAGCCAGGTGATAGAATACATCATTTTAAATCATCGCGCGTAAAGCAAGTATGAAAGAATGTATGTATGTGCACGTCGAGCACGGACTTCACGTCCTCTGTCCAGTCACCGCCAACTCCCACCAAGAGCCACCACACTCGCACAGCATCACTCAGACAGTCAACACGTAGGCTAACCTGTCAAATCTGAAGCGAGAGCACCAAAGCCGGCGTCCCTGGTAAGCTTAATTAATATAAGTCACATTAATATATTTTAATCTTCAAACTATAAATACATTCCTCATAATTTACCGCAGTGTGCAAGGTGTGTGAGTGAATGTGTATTTATAATTGTATTTTTAATTTTAGGTCTTCTTCAGACAATTAAATCATTTTCCAACCAAAGAAGGGGTTTTGGTAGTCTATCCACCCACGGTTACATAAGTGTTAAACATTACCTCCCATTCCGCCTCCTGCTCCACCGCCCATTCCACCTCCTCCTCCGCCTCCCATGATAGAGTCTAAAATATGAAGACACTTGTTTATCCAAAGTGAACATAACAACAACAAAAGAATAAAGACAGCAATGTAAAGGGAAAAAATTCAAATGAGTTGATCAATTGAAAAGGAACCTGATGTGATACTGATGACATCATGCTAGGGACCACCTTACCTATCATGGCCTGCATCTGATTACCGCCGCCTTGACCACCGCTTGCTGCAAATCAATTAAAACTCGTGATTATCATTAAGATATGTACAGATTAAAAAAAACTATCCAAAAAGCAATACAACATTACAAAATACTACAAACATAACTAATTTTCACAACAATTCCATGACAAATCAGAAAAAAAGGAAATCACTCTTGTTGGCCCGGAAGGAAGCACATGAGGGGTTTAGCTGTGGGAGGACACCGTAGTTCACGGAGAAAACCCATGTGGTACAGCAGGTGACTACATAATGTATCCCTTCGGTCGGCAAGGAAAAGGGCGATTATCAACAAAAGCAGACAACTGTGTGTATAAGTTATACAATGTGTAAACAAAAGAAACAATTCATATATCCATGTAGCTCCATTCAAGATAGAATCAAAGCAAAAGTACACAAAAGTATCACTAAAATTATGTAAACAAACATCATCATCTCTAAAGCTTTAAAATTTGATAGAAACAAAACACTGATGTAACAATTATATCACACTACATTCGCATACAGGAATAAAGGGCCGCCATTGTACTGATGAAAATGAAAATAAATCATACGAAAAGTATTATTGGAGATTAATATTCACTTTATAATCCTTTCCTAAGGATATACTTCATTTAAAAGAACCAAAAATAAAGTATTTAACTCTTTTCTGATAATGATTTCTTAAAAAGCTTGTCTACAAAAAGATTATAAAAAGCCAAAAATCAATATGTTGCTCCATTACCCGTTACTGGTAAACCCGAGAGAATATGTGAAACACATGATAATGCAATATTTTATTTTTCCTGAATAATGGATATTCTTTTTGTGACAACATTTTTGAAAGAGACTTTAGTCTTTCGTTATAAAATACGGGTATCCTACTTGGCAAGTAAAAGAAATCATGAGATTTGATTTAGCATATTTAAGCTGCATAGTAACAATACAATGTGAAAATGTTCCAAAATGATTCTAATCTTTTATTTGACGATCATATAGCAATTAACTAAGAGTTATACTGAAAGAGGAGAACCTTACCAACCAGAAAAATGTTAAAATTGTTGACGCCATTAACCGACTTATGTCGTCAATAAAACCTGTTTTCAGCTTATAGGTACAACAGTAGATTACCAAATATATAAAAAGACAAGAGTCAATGATATTAGGAAGAAATTGGTTTTATGTTAAATTATGCCTTACTTCCAGTCAAAACGTCAGAGGAGTACATGCTGAACTCAACACCACAATGTCAGATATGGTCAAACGTTAATAATATTTCCACACATGATGCATACTCTATATAATTGGAAACTCTAGCGTGATTTTTTATGATACATACCATTCTTTTCTCTTTCAAATATTTCAAACTGGGTACGGGAAACATGAGTGAACATTAGCTGAACTGACCCTTCCTTATCTAATCGATTTTTTTTACCAAGAAAATCCAGGTTTTGCATTTTGATTCCGAGTGTATATAAAAGTAAACACGATACCTAAAAGTCGTGTCATCATCTGGTTGAATTGTTCTTGCTCCGTAAGAGGTGCTGGTGTAGTAGTAGTGGTGGGCGGGGTCGGTTCACCTCCGTCTAAAAATAACAGTTTTACAATTTAACCTTCTATTACTAACATTGAATAGAAAAAATAAAATCACAAATCGTAGTGTCAAAACATAGACCTAATTATAAATGCAGATTATTGTCATTTTATTTTTCTAAAGTTAAAAATGACTAGATGTTAGATGTTATAACTTTCCAGATTATGTATCAGAACGTTATCGATGTTGTACACTGTCTACGATACGCCATAAATAACACAGAAGGTAACAAAATAATTACAATATTGTATCTTGGTAATTTTTTCACCCTTTATTTTTAGGGGTATTCATGTAAAAGTCTTCTTTTCATTATCTGCCATAGCTTTTTCGAATTTGAGATTGAGTTAAGGTTTTTAAAATAATCGAAGAATTGTTTCACACATCCGCAGTTTTTACTAAATACATACTCAAAATTCCTTTTAGCTGTTGACGTTGCACTGGGGAAAGGCTTTCTGTTAAACGACAAATATGCGAATTATCCATTAAGAGGCAATAGATTGACAGTGAAATCAATACACAAAAATAATCTCAGAACATGACGTTAACAACTTACAACTTATAAGACGTCAAAAGTAATAAAACAAATCTAAAAAATAAATTAAAATCATCATCATTAAAACTACTTACTTTTTAACAAAAACATAGTATGACTGCCAAAACAATTCACCAACAAAAACAATCTAAATTAATTCAAACAATACAGATTTACAACTATTCATGAGGCGGTGGAAGAGTCTAGAGCTTTACCTAACCAAAGTAAATATATAGTATGGCTACCATACAAGATATAAGACAATATCAGATCTAGTGTAGTGTTTACATAACAACTCTTTCGTGTTGCCCAGGCTAATTCCGATACATACGAAGGAAGGACTGGAAACCTCCTCCAGCCTGTTGCTGTGTTGGTGGGGTTGTCGGCCTTGTTGGGGGAACCATGGGTATTTGAGCGTTGTTACCGAAAGATGATAGTGATCCCGCTGTATAAACATTTACCACGAGTTAACAGAGGATTAACAGTGACAGCTTAATACAGAATCACTTGGTATTGAATTACCATCAATACATTATTACATAACGTCATCAGATCAAAAATAAGAATTGGAAAAATCACAACGTCAGGTACAAAATAGGCACATTTAACAGTGAAAATAAACACAAATAATTTGTAAAATCTCAGAAACACAATTCATTGTTCTTGGTGTATATCAATACACATAGAATAACTGTGAACAAAAATACTGGCTATGTTCACAAATAAAGTATAGTCCAGAGTAATGCCCAAAATAATAACTGAATTTGCAGACCTCCGAATATCAATAGAGCATCTCAGCATAACCTCAACCATAACATAAAGCAAGAGAGAAAGATATAGAATAGGAAAAAGATAGAATAATATAGACAAGACATATAGGCAACTAGGAATGTACACTTTCAGTACACAGAGAGAGCATTTGAAAGGTTTAATCATAATTATATCATTTTTCATAGTTTTATTTCTCAGGTGATCATCTTTAAATATTCATGCAATAAAGTTGCTAGGTTATGCATGTCAATAACATGCTTCATTATTGAGATGTTTTAATGTCCCATGTTAAATATCATATTTACTCATACAATGTTACACAACATTAACATAAATGTTTGCTGTGGAAATTTATGCCGTAACATACAAGCGATAAAAAAATCCGTGTAACAAGAACGCTTATCATTTGTTTACGTACCGTTTGATATAAACATTCACGATAAAAGTGTTAATTAATTAGACGAAAGAAATGTTATAATCTATATAATAATAGATTCATAATCTGTTAAGAAACCGGGAGATTTTTTTGTGTTTTGTTTGTCGTATGTAACAATTTACGAACAATGATAAAAGTACAAGAAATGTTAGATAAAATGCTCACTATATCAAAACTAATCATGATCATGTATATGATAAATACACACATTGAAAGCTAATACGTCAACATTTGTCGAATTATGTATTTTGTGTGATTGTAGATCGAGTAATGTATATGTATGACTTTATATTATAAAAGTTCATTTCTCTCTGTGTAACATTTCTCCTGCGAAACATATATCTGTTTGTAATATATCTCCCAATTTAACATATCTCCATGTGTAATATACAAATGTATATCCTTGTTAAGCATATCTCTGTGGGTTACATATTTCTGTGTGTAACATATCTATCTGTGTGTAACTTATTTCAATGTGTTAGATACCTCTCTGTGTAACATATTTCCCGTGTAGCATATCTCTCTGTATAACACCTTTCTCTGTGTAACATATCCCTCTGCATGACATATCTCTGTGTGTAACACATCTTTGTGAAACATATTTCTCTGTGTAACATATCTCTCTGTGTAGCATAATACATACTAATTTGGAAATGTCATCATTTTTACCTTCTGTAGACATTAAGCATACTTAAGGTGGGAATAGATTCATTCGTTACAGTGAATGAAAAAAGAAGCCATGCGACGTGAACGCATTTCACTCCGGTAATAGTATTCAAGTAAGTGTCATGTGATAAACACAATGGATGTTATCATGTGTACTACATATATCACTGAAGCACGCGCACCTATAAAAGGCAGATGATTGGCATAACTCTCATGTCTCCTTTGTAAAACCACTTACCATTGGGTAAACCTGTCATAATTTTCTCTAATTTGGCCATAGCACTTGTATCAGTACCTTTATAACACAGTATTTTAGACAATTATTTATCATCTGCTAACGATAAAATGTGGTTTAATGTTGGCAAAAATCTACTATTACATCTACCAGACCAAAATATACAACACGAAAATACCGATTTTGTATATTTCGTATAAAAATTTCGTACAACATTCATTAAGACTGCAAACAACTGAAACGGGGCAAAATATGAACAAAAGAGAGACTGGCATAGATATCCTTTGATACAGGCGGAAATACGTGTGTTAAATATTGCAGTTGTACAAGGTGTATACGTTAATAAAACATCGGCATTGATGTCAAAGTAGACGATTTCACATACCTCTATCTTGCACTTGTGGTGCCTGGTTTACTGTTGCTTGTTGGGGCGCAGCTACTGTTTAAATAAAATAAGTACAAATGTTACGGTGTGAACACATATATAGGTGTATTTGACTGAAGCAAAGGTCGAAAACTAAGTGAATTGTTAATGACGAAGTGTTGATGATTTATCCACTGTTTAAAGATTATTCTAAACAATTAAGGATTTGTTTCTCTTAAGTTGTCTTGTAGAAAATTGACATTTTGAATATTTAACTCATTAGGAGTCATTCCTTTCACAATAAAATTGTGAAATCATCCCAGACGAATTTTACAATCCTAATGTTTCTAAAACAAAAACACACTTAAATAGGAAGTGGTCAACTTAACTTTGGTTATATTTTTTAGATATCTTATCGGTTTTGTTTTACATGGGGCGCGTCGCTACCGTGCGCGGCATTTTGCTATAATGTTTGACAAACAAATAGAATAAAAGAAAGGCAGTCATGAATTTGCAGTTGGAAGTAAGGTTTATGAAATGTATAGTTATAGATATCCGTAAACTTTAAGAACGAGGAATTATTATAAGAATGCTGAACTGTCGTTTAAAACACAATCATATCACAGTAAGCATTAAACACACATTTTATGAGAACCAACACACATTGAATACTAACGGTTGTACATTGGAGTACTGTCATCTTTACTCAATCATAAAGATATATATAGATAAAAAATTTCAAATGCATATTTAGACGGCAACGCTACCTTTCAACGCTTTTTTCTATATATTTGTTAACTTACCTGTATATGATGATTATTGATTCGAAATCTAGAAAATGTCGCATTAAGGTATGGATATCTGGTTAAAAAGGTCATTTAAGATTGGCATATTCAAATTTTAATAAGAATTTCTTTTAAAAAATATATCGGGTACTCCGCTAGCTGTAAAGGCAAAATTTATCACATTAATTGTACGCGCACTCTTTCATGGTTTCATTATTATCGTAACAAAAAAAAGAAATGTACACTTTTACAAAAACAAACACGTTGTATACATATTTTATTTGTCTAAACGCACAGAGTACAAAAACAACACAACCCGTCCATATAGGACACAAGTTTTATACATACGCAGTGCTAGAAATTTCGCAGAATCAGCTTGCGCGGAAGAGCCGTTACTCTTCCCATGTGAGGAGGTTTGGGTATTTGTTGACAAACCCAGTTTTGTAAGTAATGCAGAAAGACGTTGATGTTGTGCCCTAAGAGAAGCTGTGGTTCCTTGTTGATTGCCATTTTGTGAATTTTGTTCTGTTAAAAGAATTTCCGTTCGTGTTATGAAAATGCTGACATCAGATAGATTTTGTTTTTTTATATTCATTATATATATATGTATAGATATATATATCCCTGTTTAAATGTTTGAAGTCGAATTTCCTGGTTTGAATTATACTTAACTTAGTTTTCAGTTTCTATTAGCGTGTACTGAAAAATTCTCCTTTGGAAGCAAATTCAGAAAAGCTTACTTTCTGTTGTCTGGAATCTTTGAAGATCATCCGATTTCTTTTTGTGTTCTTACATTGAATATCGATTCACATATTATATTTCTTTTCTATCATAAAAAGTTTCCATTTCGGGAGGGAAATAGTGAGATTTTGTTAAGTGGAATGACGAAGCAAATTAGCTTAAGATTCTTAAGACTAGTTATATTCTGGATTAAAGAGAAGTTATAGTTTAATAGAAAGTATTTGATAGCTGTTTTACATATTTTATTATGAGATGTTATAACATCATAATGGTTATGTATATGACTATCTGACAAGTACTCTTCAATTGTTGCATACATGAGACCTATCCGAGAAATTAGAACCTGGTCAAATCTTTTCTATGTCAAAGTTACCAAGTAAAATCCCTCGCATTATCGCAATGCCGCATATATTGCTGCACTCCAGAAAAGTGGCAATTTAGATGTGACGAGTTTTCACATACATAGTTCAGTCGATAAAAAATATCAAATATGACAAGGTTCATAAGTGGAAATATAAAATGAAAAGTTTCATCGATGACAAATGAGAAAACAGTAAAATGAATTCTTAAACGAAGGGACGATAACATTCCAATTCTGTTCCAATTGTTGTTGTTAACATGGCCTGATCTACTGACCCAAGGCATTATCGCATGCATCTGCGGTACAGAAAGATGAGCATATTGGTTCACCTACGACGACAAGATTCAAGTTGATACAGGGTATGTATATATATTGCCGGGTATCAAACAGACACGGAGAATGAATCCACTCAACCGCCAAACAGACACGGAGAATGAATCCACTCAACCGCCAAACAGACACGGAGAATGAATCCACTCAACCGCCAAACAGACACGGAGAATGAATCCACTCAACCGCCAAACAGACACGGAGAATGAATCCACTCAACCGCCAAACAGACACGGAGAATGAATCCACTCAACCGCCAAACAGACATGGAGAATGAATCCACTCAACCGCCAAACAGACACGGAGAATGAATCCACTCAACCGCCAAACAGACACGGAGAATGCGTGTTCATCACATATGTATATTGTAGGAATGTATAGATACGCGGTATATACGACTTCTAGTGTGTAATTTGCTGAAATCATGAACTAAAGCCGTATTAATTCTGTCGTTTTGAATAGTCTTACTAATGAAAATATAATGCATTGATCAGGACTGTTAATTAGGTTTGTGTCAAACTTAAACGGATATCAAATCAGTGATGTATCAGAATTAAACATAAAGCATTTCAGGCGAAAATGAAACTTACATATACGTATCTGAATTATTGAATGCTATTGTAATACTGTTATCATAGCATTATATTTGTATAATATATCTTTCAGAGATATGATTAACATCTGTCCGTAGGGGACCGATACTAGCTCGGCGTATACCGGGCTTGATACTTAACAATAGAGTTATGTCGTCATTATTCTAAGCCGATTAGTGTCATAGGAAACGTACCCATCTGAGGAGACATAGGTTTATATTCCAGACTTTGCGGGGTTAAAGTATCTGTAGTTGACAGTGATGGTTGAGATCTAGATCCCTGATTATTCTCAACTTGGCTGTTAATTCTCATAATTGTGTCTCCCAAGGCGAGCTCTGTAAGCGACGGAGCATTGGAGTTAAGACTTTGCGGTTGGTCCATTACGACAGAGTAGTTCTGTCCCTGTGTTATGCCTTGTAACTGCTGGAAGAGACTGCCAGAACCCTGTATAACTGCGTCCATCGGGAAGTCTTGTGGTGTAGGTGGCGCAACTGTAGATGTGGTGGTAGGGTTCGGTGTAGTGGTGGTTTCGGTAGTAGTAGTAGGGGTTGTGGTAGTTGTAGTAGGAGTAGTTGTTGAAGTAGTGGGAGCCTGTGTTGTAGTTGTCGGCCGTGTTGTTGTAACTACAGCTGGTGTTGATGTTACATGTATCTCTACTGGATTCGTAACATCAGGCTGACGTGTATCCCTACGTGTTTGTCTACCAGAAATAGTTACATGTGGAGATGATGTTGGTCCTTGCGATTCACCCAGTGTTGATGGTGGTTGTGGAGCAATAGAAGTAGATTTTGCAACCGCCATGATTCGATTAACAATTCCTCTTTCAAAAAAGGTGGTAAGTGCGGCTAGCATCTCCTTAATCTGCCGCAACATTTCTTGCTGAGTTTTGAGATTGTTTGCTGCCATCGTTTGTCGCTTCTCTAATTCTTCCATAGCCTCTTTCTGTTCCTGTAGATGTCTCCTGTCTATTGTTGTAGAGAAAGTGGGAGCCATGCTCACGTGGGCAGTAGACCCCGACATGTTAGTAGGAAAGTACGATCTTTCCTGCATATCTGAGGACACAGTCGAGGCGACTGTTGGCATAACCTTACTGATTCCGAACCCTCTAGTTGATTGAAAGGTCATCGATGTATCAGCTGCAACAGACGGTTCAGGACTTGTTGCAGCCCGGAACAGCGTGTTTACACCAGGACTCGATGTAAACGCTGACGAAGGAAACATTTCGTTTGTTTCTACAGTAGACATCCGATCCATTGACGTTAACCTGACAGGGATACCAGGCATATTTTTTGTAACCTCAGGCATCTTCGTAACTCTTTGTGAAGTGGCTTTCTGTATTCTAGCTTTATGTTGTTCCCCAAGCGTAGAAGGGGATGCTTTGGTCGGTGATGGCTTTGTAGATTTAATAGCTCTACGTGTGATGGTAGATCCGGTCTGACCAGGGTTAACTGTTGTCGTTCCAAGTCTTGGTTGGATAGTGGGGTCAAATGATGACCCGAGTACATTACCTACAGGATATGCCGTCGGACTATTGATCAATTGATCGAAGAAACTTTGAGTCGGTCTTCCTATCATTGAAGGGAACATATTGGAATTATCCACTATTGGTGGCATTGTTCCCGAAGGATCAAAAAGAGATCCGAATGTCTCCCTTGTTGGGGACGGTGCTAGCATGCCCGCTTGTGTTGGCCTTGACTGTAATATGTTCATCCAGCTGTCCCGGGCGCCTGCTTGGTTTAAAGCCGCCCCATCCGGATGATCCAAAATCGGTGCAAGTGTCGGCCACTCGCTCTGCATGGTAACTGGCGGCCATTGAGGCGACAGGGTCGACTTTTGTTTTGTCATAAAACTGGTTGTTTTGCTTTCCGAAGCAGCACCTGGAATTGTTAAAAGGATTTTAATTCAATAGCTGTAATATATATCGGAAAGGACGCCTTATTAGAGTGGAAAAAATCACAATGAGAGGAATATCTATTAATCAAAAATAAATAGAACGAGGTATCTTATTTACCCATACTAAATACAGATAGATAGAACTATGTACATCAATGTTATAGGGAAATATCTTGGTATTCACATCTTCATTCAGATATGTTATACGAATGCCCTTGAACCAAAGAATTATTGTTTGTGTTTTTTAATTGATTAAAAATCTTAAACATATCTTAGAAGATGTTCATATGAACTGAATAAGCGACTTCTATAAATTTGCTTTAAAAACTCAAAAATCTTAATTCTACCAATAATTCAAAAGACACGGTAGTTTTCAATAGTTTGTTTGTGGTCACTGACGGGAGCCTTCAGTTTGACGTAGTGTTATGCCTATAAAATAACATTATTCCAAATCAACTTGGTCTTACATGTCCAAACCATGAATCTTATGTAACACAAAATACAGGTAGTGCCAATTAAGGAGCACGAACTAATCTATGTATATCATATATGGTTTAAATATTTTGACAAACATTTCCTCTTTACACAGTCTTTTTTGTCTCACCCAAATCGGCATCATACAATATATATGTAAAATAAAGCAAAATATGTACATTTGCGGCTGATCGTGAATTATGTGACATTATACCATTACAAACCACATGTTTCTGTACAGAAATATTTATGATGCATATAACCAACATCTTAAAAGTATAAAAGTGGCTTTATAAAGTTGATTTTTTATCAACACATCTAACTTAAACACATCACCTTAAGAAGTAGAAGGCGTAACCAAACACAGTGAAGGAAAGACAAACAGTAAACATCAGCTGGTGTTGTATTTCTGGACATGGGTTCAAAAAATTGTGCTTATTATCTAATGAAGATATACTGGTAGTGTTTAGTAAAAGGACTGAAATCCTATTTTTAAGTCTTAATCTCTAAAAGAGCTAAGGTGTCCTGTTACTGTGTATTACCGTAATTCCTGGAAGAACACGAGGAACTAAAGTCTCTTTTGTGCTTATCATTAGAAAAACTGAGTAGGAAGACTTACTTGTGGACAGGGTGTTGTCTTGTTGAACATCTTTCGTTGTAGACGTCGAAGTCGGTTTTGAATCTGAAATATTTACGAAATGTTCAGAAATATTGAAGCGAATGATAAATATGTTTGGTTTTTTTTTTTTTTTTTTTTTTGAGAATGTGACGTCTTTGAAAAAATAATAGGAAGAAAAAAATATAACTTGGAAAGTTTAAATATCTTGGATTGCATTAGTATCTACTGAGAAAAGAGTTGTTAAATTCTAAGTGTTAAGAGTATATTAATAGGCATCTATGCTTTTCTGGTTAAATACTTAAAAGCCTGGTAAGCCAAAATACTTACATTCATGCAACCCAGAACTGTTAGGGAAAGCGGCATTTTTAATGTGACCATGTTAATCAGTTAGAAGTCCACATTCCGTCTTGGCGTTGAAATGGTAAAATGATTTTTTCGCGTGCGCGCGATTTTGTGACGATGAAACCTACATAGAATATCATCTTTAGACCTGGTCAGGAATTAAGATTTGGAATCACTATAGCGGAACTCAATATCCCGCCTATTCCCTACGCTTTGTGGCACACAAATTGATTAAGTGTACCAAAGAAAATGTCCTTAAACTGTTATATAGTCACTACGGAGACCTTTACACGACATTTGATATAATCGATAAAATCTGTGATGTAACACCCTATACCAGTTTTTAGATATTTATATGAATTGTATTAAGAATACATATACGACGATGCGGATATTTAACGACAATCGTATTGCTTTGCTGGCACGAGCAGCGCGACAAACATTTAACATCGAATAACATTACGTTCCATCACTGCAAATTCAGACTGCCTTATCTAACAATGATGTATCATTAATGTCCTCTTCAGTGGCATTTGTTGTCATTGTTTTCAAATCATTCTAAACACTACGTAATTCACACGTGTTTACAGGACACACCGATTAAGGCGGCGCCTTGTGACCGCAGTCGATCCAGGAGAGTTTGTGGCACAGACAATGAAGAGTGTACCATGGCTAATGGCTCGGGAGCTGGAAAGAAGTAAAAACTCTACATTATAATTCATAACAGATGAAGTATACTGAAAAATAAAATAAAGAAAATGGAATAGAAGTTATGATAACAAAAACTCGAAAATCGATTTCCCTATATAAATAAAAAAAATATCAGATATATATGAAATATTTGTACTTTAAGTCCGCTTGTTGTGGTTTTTTTCTGAACAGGATTTATCGTCGTATGAATTTCATTTTCAAGTGAGGAAAGGTTCAAGACGTCATGGTATTTTTCATACCATATCAGTTAATGTATTGTTCTTTTTCTTGTTCCAGTGAATGACAATCAGACAAATCTTGCTGAATTCATTATTGCGCAAAAACAAAGGTCAGTTACAGGTACTAGATACTACTGACGTCTCACAGCAAAGCTGTCAACAAAATGACGCGGTGACATTGTAAACTTCCATCGGGACAAAAAAACAAAATCCGAAAAAAACTGTTTCACGATACCGTAGTTTAGCAGACATTTATAAACGATCGGTGACAGTTATTTTGTAACAATGGACTGATGTCAAAGTATTAAAAGGTGAGGGTTTTGGCTACAAAGAGTATCACTACAGTTTGATAGATATTAGAGATGACCTACTGCCATCTACACCATCAGAATACCAATGTATATAATAGCATTATGACAAAAACACTATTATTGGAGTTAATATTTCAAAATACTTCACAACCAAACGTCTGTAAATCAGAAATTAGAACCAATAAAACATGTTAGTTTACAATTAAACAACGGATTGGTTCAAACTTACCAATCTCCATCTAATGTGTTAAAACTACCCATGATTATTTAGGTCATGCAAAACAGGAAATGCTGAATATACCATTCACAACGTATCAGACATCGACACAGTATTAATTCTACAGAAGTGTTTTAGCTACAACTTTATTTCTTAACGTATAAGACAAATACTGCCAGAAAGCGTTGATAAAATCATGGTAAAGATGTTTTCACACCATTAATAGTTTCTTGTTAAAGCAAGTTCTGGAATGTGGTATGTTTAGAAACAGTGGAGATACAAGGCATGTTCATTGTAAAATAAAAACAACAGCTTTGATAGCTGGTGGACAAAAACAAATACAGAAATCACTTACAGCATCGACACTAACTTAGTAAGATGTGTTGAATCATATAAAGGTCTTATTGTCATTACATTTAGGAATCAACGTTATATCATAAAAACTGGCTAAAATTAAAACCTGAATTGAAGACATGATTCCATATTTTGTTATGTAATATAAATTACTGTAAAGTCATTTAAAGTGAGCATTCTATTATCACTCATGTATTTCATAAAAAAATGACAAAATATTTGGCAACAATAATTATTTAACATAACGTTTAAGGAACTTGAGTAATGTATTTATTGTGTTCCTAACTAGTTCCTTATATTTTGTCTTTCCTAGTTTATCTTTTCGGACAATCTCTACAATCTATTGGTTTGCTGGGTATGAAACAAGTTACATTTAGCCAGACACTTGTTGTCTACACACATAATGTGATCAAGTATGTTGGTAAACGAGACTTAATGCTGATATATGCCACATTGTGTTATCCGCCATTGGCGCAAAGTAATACTGCGGATTCAACTTCCGTATTACAACTTCATAACTGATTCTCATGCGACCCTGCTGGACCGCACGAGCTACGCTCGCTATAAGTGGGAATAAATATATTCTATTTAAGCTCAGACTTCAAATAATTCAGTCCAACAGTGACACATGAATCCATTTGAAAACATACTACTTATCATATTCTTTTCTCGTTAGTACAGTGGACATGATCAGCGAGTTGGTGTCAGTTAAGCAATGAGTTTAGATCAGGACAAGAAGACTGCTACCACAAAATGTTAAAATTAGAGTGGGAAAGATATAATACTAACTGGGACTAAAATCATTAATACAAGTACAATCAGGTTAAGATAATTGTAGTGGTCTGGCTGAGTTATCGCCCTTTTTCCAATGCCATATTCATGACTGAAAATAACATGTTGTTTCTAAGGGTGGTTTAAAGGGCACACATGTAATTAGAACCACAGGTGATCTCAGTATCCCATGCAAACCCAGTGGGGTACTTGAAGGGGTGGATTGGAAAACCTTGTAATAGGGTGGAATGTCTGATACAGTTGGTTTAAGTATGAATACACATATACTCCATACTCTAAAACTTCCTAATCCTACAGAAAGACTTATACCAAAACTCTCTTGTTTTCAATGAAAATGTCGCAAATATCAAAAATGGTTTTAGAATATTTCAAATTATTTGTAAGCCACATGTTTCCAGTCCGAGTCAAGTCTTATGATACTAGCCTGTAGTGTAAACATTATTAAGAGATATCAAAATGCTGACAATAACGTTATGCGAAGTATATGTGAATTCATTTATTTCACTGTAACATTTTTCCGGATTGATGTTTCCAGGTTTAAAAAAATGACCACGTGATCGTCTAGGTTACCAATGGCGACTCGTACCTGGTGTCGTTGTTGTAGTTGCAGTTGTTGTTGTTGTTGGCCTGGTAGTTGTTGTCGTAGCTAGGTAACGAAACATCACATGAACGTGTCAGGAATGTGAAACATACTGTTATTATAAGATCTGGCTACTGACCCACCTTTTAATGTTTTGAAACCATGTGTTGACGAGACACTGTTGCCGTCTATGGTGGTTTTTGGTATGTGAATGTTTACCCTAGAAGAGGGATTAAGGTTTGACTTGATTTCGGGAGAAAGCTTTTCGGTATACTGTGATTATAAGATACTATAAGATAAATCTAATAATAGATATAATAATGAAATACAAAAGTATAAATACAATATTGAACTATTATACAATATACTGATACAAGAATATATATTGACATTTATATAAAATGCATGCTTAACTTTGATATCACATTTTTAGCAAGCACAACGTGTTCAGCAATTATGGGAAGGAAGCATTACAACACATTTGATTTGTAAAAAACGATCATAATAATATCAATTATAAAACAAACATTTTAGAACATTTACTCTCTACTTTGTGTGTTGTCCAAATGTCAGAACAAGTATTTTGTATTCTTCTGCTTTGACAAGAAAACGTGTAAATAAGTCTGTGATACCATTTTATATTGCAATTATGTCGCAACGTACAATAAACATACCATGCTATACAGAAAGGTATAATAGACTAATGATGTAGGAGGTTTATAAATTGTTTAACAAGTTTGATGTACATACCGCGGGTGGTGGTGGTTGTCGGTTTCGGTGTGGTAGTAGTGGTAGTAGTAGTGGTGGTGGTAGCTTTCACCTCAGCCGCTGAACGGGGTTTTTCTGTTGGTGTACTTTTCTGTGAAACTGAAGATCTCCCTGAAAACGGATGACACTGACATATTGATAAGTACAAAAACGTTGTAGCTACTCCAAATTTGGTGATACAAATTTAATCGCGACACATCGGTGATTCGAGCCATTCGGGTATGGTAGATTTTGTTACGTTAAATAAACATTTTGATTTTAATCATTTTCTAAAATGTGTCATTTTTCATGTTTTCCTCACGCAGTGATATAAAAAGATAAAGTATGTTGATACGGCCGAACACACTGTTTGTATAGAAAAGATAGTTATTAAGTGAGTTATTATAATGTTGGTAAAACCAACGCGCTGCTGTTGTAGTCAAAATAGAAACAAAATTAACAACATCAAAAAATCACAACCGGTTATTATACTTCTTATGTCCAATATACCAACCTGATGTACTAATTCCTATATTCAATGTAACAACCTGACATAATAATTCTTATATTCAATGTAACAACCTGATGTACTAATTCTTATGTCCAATGTAACAACCTGATGTACTAATTCTTATGTCCAATGTAACAACCTGATGTACTAATTCTTATGTCCAATGTAACAACCTGACATAATAATTCTGATGTTCAATATTACAACCTCTTACAATTATTCTAAAACAAGTAGTGAACACATCTTTAAAAAATGAATCGATATCAATATAAAGATTACAGATACTTAATTAACATTGTCCTATATATACACGTGTGCGCATGCGTCTATTGTAAGTCGTCTATCTAAACCAGATCGCTACATATGTCTCTGATAGTCATCGGTCTAAATAGCATGCCATCTTATCAAAGAAAATAAGGTTTGCCGCGATACCCATCACAATATATATGACAAATTTTCATAAAATTTTCCGTTTTCAAATTATGCAAGTTAAATGCATGAACAATGTTGAGGTATAAACAAGCACATAGAACACAGTTGATGACAATTCCTAATCTTATTGCCTCATCGGACAGTATGTATAACATCATCATTTACATAACGCTACATTTTTCCTTTTATTGTAACACGCATGGCACTTTCTAATTCATTCGATATATGAAAAATCAAATACATTGGTATATTGTTATAACTGTGTTCAGGTATGTACACCTAATAACTGCCCACCTTAAGCAAATGCATGAGGCAATGAAGCACTTCAATATTAATGGTAATAAAAAGACATCGTTATTCAAGATCAGCAACACGATCTGTGATATCTGCAATGCCTTTACTAAGACAATACAAATTTTAAATAAAACAGAACGGTGGGTAAGGGTCGATATTGTCCGTTTTTTTATCAATGTATCTAAACATAGATTGATATAATCTATAAATTGGTGATAAATGAAATCGATAATATCGTTTTTAAACTGGTTGGTGTGTGTTTATCATATTATCAGAGTTTTTACATAGCTGGGATATCGATATGGATATCATATTGGTGTTTAATGATATGGTTGGTGTTTTTTTTTTTTTTTTTAATTTACTTTGAAATGTAAATATATGTAAACATATCTGTGTCACAGTCATTGAAACATGTATAAATGGAATTTTGTTTTGATATTTATAATCTTGTAGCGATGATACAGGAATGTTTCTGTTTACCAAATCTGTTTATTATTATTATTATTATTATTACAGTCTGAACGGCCCGTCAACACATAGAAGGTAATTAGGGCCAAACTTTGTGTATAATGAAGCTATATTTTATCATTTGGATGGAAACAAGCCTGCCTGTGCTGTTTCATTTTGGCAATAAAAAGCCCACAAATCCTTGTTTTAAGGATGTTTATATTAAAATTCATACGGATGTGTGCGATTTATGTAAGGAAACATTTAATAGTCTGTTATATTGTGTATAAGTGTGTACAGACTGTAGAACAGATAAATCTGACTCTTAGTAATATTAATACACGTGTCTTTACGTCATTACGAAAGAGCTTTAAGCTTTTGCATAAATTAAAAAGCATGACCAAACTGGGAGGATTATCATGAAATTTAAGGCATTGTCGGAAGTGTACAAACGAAAATCATTTAATTTCCAAAACGAGCTCACTAACCAAAGACAATGTTATTTTTGGTGACATTTATGTCACGAATGGCACCTTTCGATTTAGGTTTATAACATCGTACGATTTCTATAAATAGAAATCCCGAACTTTACCGTATTTTCAATCAATTACATTGCAATATGCGTTACTGATGAAATCTGGTATAGTATTTTCATATTTATAATGTTCTGACGCGCTTTAAATGTTTTACGTAAAGATGAACACACGCTTTCACAAACTTGGTACATCATTTTATCTGGAAACCTCACCACAACAGGATAATGCTATCGTGTTTATGGTCTTTTTTATAAAAATGTATTCAGGTGATCATAAAAATTAGCGCCCTGACATTGTGATAGGAAATTAAATAATCGTTTTTGTGGCGTAGACAGAAACATGTCTGCCTTAGGCACTCTTTATAAAACGTAATGCTAAACAATTTTTATTTATTTTACCTTTCAACATATTGCGCGCACTAGAAAGTTTCTAACGTTCAGATAAATTCCTCCCAGTGTGGTATCTGTGTAAGCATTGCGCTCAGACTTATTACAGAAAGCCGAATAAGCTTGTTAACTCGCTAAATGGTATTTTTTACCTTTACTGAATGGTGTTGCGTTTGTCTGTTGTGGCTGTTGAGGTGTTTCATTGCCTAATTTCGAGTAACTTGTTTTACGAGGAGGGAAGTAGGCACCAGGATCGACTCCCAGAAACATGTCTAACTGACTCAGACCTTAGGACGAACCAAGCAATACATTAATGTGAGTCAACAAATCTCAGTTTGAAAACTATCATTTATGTAAAACCAAATTGTCGAATTTTATCAATTACGTAGGATGGGCAGAAGACACCACAAATCAACACCTCTGCTTACTGTACAACTTGAATTTCACAGTCTAGTTCTACATTAGCCCGCTTCTTAAACACACAAACTTTTTATATAATTACTTATTTTAAACACTTGAAATATATCATTTTACCTCTACGTGTGGACCACTTCGTTGTGTTTATATGTATGATTGTAAACATTTATTACTGACCGCAGGTGTATGCTTTATTTAACAACCTCCACAGATAAATACTACGTCTAAATTTCACATATTCATTGAAGGCAAATAGGAAATAAAATTATTTTTGTTAATTTTTTTGTTATGTTATTATCTAAAATCATACTTATACATTTTGGGCTGAATCGAGATAAAGATCTATAAAGAATAAAGTGTTGATAATGACATGCTGATTGGTGTTAATTGTCTACTCTAATTGGTTAGTTGTTATGATCTAATGTTTTACTGTGGCTAAGAATAAAAGAATATTATTATACCTGTACATTATATATATATATATATATAAATCACAATGCTACAGTGTACGTATTAGGTCTGTCTCGCTTTACAGCAATAACGAGAAGGATATGAAGAGAGAATCGCTAGACAGTTTTTCAAAACAGTCTCTCAGTATCGTGTGCAAAGAAAAAACAGAAGATCTAGAAATAAAATCATTGATTATAATGCCATTACTATACCACAAACATTTAAACTTCGTACTACAAAAAAGAAATAGGATTTTTTCAGATGAGATCACAATAAAGCTTTTATCTCTATCTGAATCAGTCGGATCACCTAGTAAGATTGCGTCGACAACAATAGCATTTAACGGGATAATCACGACAGAGACTTAGTTACCTTCTGTAACACTATCAGGGTAGTACAACAGTTTTATGTAAGACTCGGAAATAGACAGATAAACTCACTAAAGTAAAAGTGAGAATCCCGGGCTACCGACAGAATCAGAACGAGGGCGAGACTGAAATGCCAAAAAAACAAAAAAGAGGACAGGGTGTAAATTATCTTGGTGATGGATACATTGTGGAATGACGAAAGGAAGGGAGAACATACAACCGATGGCCTACAATCATTACAGAATAACATATTAGATTATTCAAGGTCATATATCGATTATTATTGTCCACGGAAAAAATTGAGGGATACCGAAAATGACTGAGCTAGAGCCGAAATGGCAGGTACTGCCTAAACTTAATGAGTGAGAGCTTGATGACAGGTACGGTCTAACGTTGATAAGTTAGAGCTCAATGACAAGGACTGTCTAAACTTAATGAGTAAGGTATCAAAGACAGGTACTGCCTAAACTTAATGAATTGGGACTTTAAGAATGGCACTGCTTTAACCTTATGAGTTAGAGTTCAAAGACAGGTACCTCCTAAACTCGCTAAGTTAGAGTTCAAAGACAGGTACCTCTTAAACTTAATGTATTAGAGTTCAAAGACAGGTACCTCCTAAACTTAATGTATTAGGGTTCAAAGACAGGTACCTCCTAAACTTAATGAGTTAAAGTTCAAAGACAGGTACCTCTTAAACTTAATGATTTAAAGTTCAAAGACAGGTGATGTTTAAACTGAATGATCGACGACTTAAACACAAGAACTATCTAAACAGTGTATCAACTACTAGTGACATTTTTCTATTCATTCAGAATGTAATTTATTATGAATTAATAAATTGTTAACTACATCTAAATCACATTGATGAGTGAACTACCTCTAAACGTGTGCAGTCCTACACTCTACTTTTAGGTCTGATTGTCTTACCTCCGACAAACTCTGTTGTTTGTTGCTCAGATAACTTGAATGGAGGGGGAGGAGGAAGTGTACGAGAAGTTTGAATGCGGGGAATATAAGGGGGCGTGGCCTTGGTGGTACGTTGTGTGAGGAATGTAGTACCTTTTCTGTTATTTCGGAATATACTGGCTGTGGATGGAATCATATATTCATAGATGGATATTGATCATTAACAGCCAATGATTCGACGGTAGTATTAATTTTCCTATAATGTGAACAGTGGTAATAGATTTGTTTTGTTGTTTTTTTTTTCAATACAGAATTTTTAATTGTTTGGAAAAATAAACATTATTACAGGACCGATTTATTAACTTTAAGAAGCAGGCCATCAGATCTTATATAATATATGTAATAGCAGGACTTCTGTTCTGTTCACTCCAACAAAGACAACTAAACGACAGTTAAATCCGCCATCATAATAGTAAAATAGAAAGGTGTATGGTTTACTGTAAAGCTGCTGTTTACGGATAGAGAAGTGATGGGATCAATCATTATTGTTCTAATATGGAGACTATTTTAGTAAATCATTTCTACGTTCACACCTTCTTGAGCAGTGATCGTTCGACGTCTTGATCCGAGGAGATTTTCAAATTGTCTTTTCCTTGGCTCTGGTAGTTTTGGTATAAACACACCTGTTCGTATATATATAGACAATAGATTCAGCTTCATACCTATATACACTGCTACATATATACCTATATCAACTAGATATATACCTATATAAACTATATACCTATATAAACTATATACTTATATAAACTATATACCTATATAAACTAGATATATACCTATATAAACTAGATACCTATATAAACTATATACTATATAAACTAGATACCTATATAAACTATATACCAATATAAACTATACACCTATATAAACTATATACCTATATAAACTAGATATATACCTGTATAAACTATATACCTATATAAACTATATACATACCAATATAAACTATAAACCTATATAAACTATATAACTATATAAACTAGATACATACCTATATAAACTAGATATATACCTATATATATATACCTATATAAACTATATACCTATATAAACTATATACCTATATAAACTATACACCTATATAAACTATATAACTATATAAACTATATACCTATATAAACTATATATATAAACTAAATACCTATATATGTAAACTATATACTATATACCTATATAAACTATATATACCTATATAAACTATATACCTATATAAACTATATATATATAAACTATATACCTATATAAACTATACCTATATAAACTAATACCTATATAAACTATATAAACTATATATATAAACCTATATAAACTATATATATACCTATATAAACTAGATACATACCTATATAAACTAGATATATATCTATATAAACTATATACCTATATAAACTATATACCTATATAAACTATATACCTATATAAACTATATACCTATATAAACTATATACCTATATAAACTATATACTATATAAACTATATACCTATATAAACTATATACCTATATAAACTAGTATATAACTATATACCTATATAAACTATATATATATAAACCTATATACCTATAACTATATACCTATATAAACTATATACCTATATAAACTATATACCTATATAAACTAGATATATACCTATATAAACTATATACCTATATAAACTATATACCTATATAAACTAGATATATACCTATATAAACTATATACCTATATAATATACCTATGTAAACTATATATATATACCTATGTAAACTATATACCTATATAAACTATATACCTATATAAACTATATATATACTATATATAAACTATATACCTATATAAACTATATACCTATATAAACTATATACCTATATAAACTATATACCTATATAAACTATATATATATAAACCCTATATAAACTATATAAACATATAAACCTATATAAACTATATACCTATATAAACTATATACCTATATAAACTAGATACCTATATAAACTATATACCTATATAAACTATATACCTATGTAAACTATATACTTATATAAACTATATACCTATGTATAACTATATACTTATATAAACTATATACCTATATAAACTAGATACATACCTATATAAACTAGATATATACCTTTATCAACTATATACCTATATAAACTAGATACCTATATAAACTATATACCTATATAAACTAGATATATACCTATATACCTATATACCTATATAAACTATATACCTATATAATACTATATACCTATATATAAACTATATACCTATATAAACTATATACCTATATAAACTAGATACATATAAACCTATATAAACTAGATATATATCTATATAAACTATATACCTATATAAACTATATACCTTTATAAACTATATACCTATATAAACTATATACCTATATAAACTATATACCTATATAAACTAGATATATACCTATATAAACTATATACCTATATAAACTATATACCTATATAAACTATATACCTATATAAACTAGATATATACCTATATAAACTATATACCTTTATAAACTAGATACATACCTATATAAACTATATACCTATATAAACTATATACCTATATAAACTATATACCTATATAAACTAGATATATACCTATATAAACTATATACCTATATATATACTATATACCTATATAAACTATATATACCTATATAAACTATATACCTATATAAACTATATACCTATATAAACTATATACCTATATAAACTATATACCTATATAAACTATATACCTATATAAACTATATACCTATATAAACTAGATATATACCTATATAAACTATATACCTATATAAACTATATACATACCTATATAAACTATATATACCTATATAAACTATATACCTATATAAACTATATACATATATATACCTATATAAACTATATATATATCTATATAAACTATATACCTATATAAACTAGATATATACCTATATAAACTATATACCTATATAAACTATATACCTATATAAACTATATACCTATATAAACTATATATATATAAACTATATATATACCTATATATATACCTAACTAGATATATACCTATATAAACTATATACCTATATCAACTATATACCTATATAAGCTATATACCTATATAAACTATACACCTATATAAACTATACACCTATATAAACTATATACCTATATATACCTATATAAACTATATACCTATATAAACTAGATATATACCTATATAAACTATATATACCTATATAAACTATATACCTATATAAACTATATACCTATATATATCCACATCAGCAGAGGCGAATCCAGGAGGTCTATATTAACTTAAACGTATTTTAATTACATCTTGATATATTTAACGTAACTTCTTTCCGTTACCGAGTGGCATTTCCTAAATATCCCCTCTTACTACTGGATTCGCCAGTGAGTGAAAACATTGCGTATTGATCTCTCTCTCTCTCTCTCTCTCTCTCTCTCTCTCTCTCTCTCTCTCTCTCTCTCTCTCTCTCTCTCTCTCTCTCTCTCTCTCTCTCCATTTCTTACTTATTAAGGTCATTTTATGTTCTTTCCTTCCTCGTATGCCTTGTAAATAAACTTTGATATCTGTGGCTGCCTACACGAGGCATACTGCTGTATATATACTTTAGATGAAAGGTAATAGTGGCTATTACTTCAAAATAACATCTGTTTTAAATCTACTTATGTCACGAAAAATGTTGTTCTAACAATAAAAATCTTATTTATTGTGGATATTCACTTGATTTTACAAGTATGCTGATTAAAATAGACTTACACTCTCACTGTTTAACTACTTAATGATACTGACTAATAATATAAAACATGGCCGCCACTAAAAATGCTTTGTTTTCGACAAACACTTCATTCATCTTATACGTTGTTCGCTTGTATTTCTTTGTGAAATAAGTTGTAAAGCATGACATATTTAACTCAATCCTACCTGGAAGATTCAGTCCGGAAACTTTTTCAGATTCAATTTGTTGTTTAGAAGTCGCTGTGTTTGTGATGTCATTTCCGGTTGATGTTGCGGCCTTCAGAGTACTATTTTGAGAAGGCAACATTTTCTCCTTCCTTGCTGCCTTCAGTAACTGATAGATGGCCCTTTGGAGGGGTGATATAGTTGTCACTGCTGCTCCTGTAGTGTCTGCCATTTTTTTGCCAGGTAAATCGGTAGCCGGAACTATAACAGGGAGGGTTTTTCCGTCCGACGACACTGTCTTTGACTGATTTCCTAACGTACCCGTATATGATATATTTTAGCACTTGGGAGTTAGATGTAAGCAATGAAATTGTAAAGCATCAGCATGCAGTATTTAACAATAACAAGATTCCTTCTTTTGGAGCCACTAAGGAGCAAAGTGGTAAAAACAGATAGCATACAATATGTTGATACAGAAAGCGAAATGTGGAGAAATGTATAATTAGTATTAGTTTATTTAGAAAAGACTTTTCATAAATTATGAACTTGTGATTATCAGTAACAATGAGCATAGTACTATCATTAAAACTTAATCTTGAATTAAACAGACTTAGGATTGTCTTTCTGTTAGAAATATATGTCATTGTATTTATCACTTTTATATACAGAAATATCAAAACCTTGAAATCTGATAACGTGATACGTTTTCACAGTATAAACGATATTACAGGTCACGTGATATATTCAGTTCCATGGAGCGATAGAGGTCACTAGACTATTGTCGTGCATTCATAATGAACTTTTGTTAAGTTTTCAAAAGAAGGTGAAAGTAAAAATCAAAGTATCAAGATTAACTTTTAAAATCTGAAAAAAATAGTACGTGCATTATTAAGTACCAAAATACATACGATTTGTAAGGTTTTTGTTTTACTGAAATCTCTTTGCTGTCCGAAAGTAAGTAAATAATTCATAACAAATAGTTTTTACTCCTTAAATGTAATGTGGAGATAATGTTTGTTTTACAAGTAGATAAAGACTATAACGAGTACAAACACGTGCACATCCATTCCATGCTTGATAAATAAATAATTCCGAGTAAACAATTTTTTTCTAACGCACTTGTCTATATATAAACATGCTGAAATAACAACACGTGGATATGATAATCCCTGTACTTATCTGCTTAAAGCTAATATCATTTGGGGAAGCGCAAATTGATATATAAACATCTGAACTGATTGACTCCAACTTATCATAAATTTGATTTCAAAATAATTATGTAGATAGAGGTTAAACAATGGCTGATTGTTGTCTATTGTATTTCTTTCACTCGAGCTTTTTTTTAGTTTTTCAAAAGTTACAAACTAACCAATGTGTAGCGACGGTTTTTGTATATTTCGGAACAAAAACAAACGGAGAGTGAGATGAATACCATCGACAACAATCACGAGTTTGAGTGATCTGTTTCTACCACAATAAGTATGGGTTCGCATCTTACGGTGAAGATTCGATGCGTGGTTGACAAATGTCGCTAATAAATATCCAAAACTGACAATTTCAGAATAACATGGAAATATTGTAATTCAATACAGATCATAACACATAATAAAAGAGGAGGTCATGTTAAAAGCTGTTAATTTGTAGGAAATATTGCTAAGAAATCAGATTATCACAATAACAATCCGCACGTTTAGATTTATGTGAGGTCGTGAAGTAACCTTTTGGCCGACATTCAACTCCTTGACCAATCCAAAGACCGGAAGGTCATGTACCACTAGTAGGATATACACGTGTCATACATTTCTGCAGCACGTTCACACCACGGTCTTAGTATGGAATAAAACACCGTATTGTGGTAGAAGACAGTTTAGCACTCAACTGTTATTTTCAACATTACATTGATTCTATATCAGTCTTATAAAAAACTCGTTTCTAGAAAACCAGCGACAACCTCTAAATCTATGATAAAGAATATCATACATTCGATTCACATTTATAAGATATTAATGAAATTATTCACGATTTTTTCATTTAACCAGCCAATATGATCGGTAAAATGACGAATTAATACGTGTGTTTCATTAAACTTATATCAGATGGAAACTTGTGAAAGATGCTCGCTATATATTTAAGCTTTCCACTGCATCTGCTACATATAACCTCCGCTAATATATGTCTTACCAGGTGACGACACTGAATTACCCCAGTGTTGAATAGGAACACCTGTAACATGTGACGTAATATTCAAAATGACGTCAAGCTTGATAACGTCACTTGTTACATATTGTCGTTCATTTCTTTTTAATATATTGAGGGCGATTTTAACGAGCACTGATGCATATATTGTACTGGTGACATGGATACTAATTCCTTTCAAATGGTATTGATACATACAGTTATTTAAATGGTATGCTCATTTTTTTTCGAATTCGTTCACGATTACATAATATGTGAATCGAAAACTATATTGAATGTCCATTTCGATCATTCGCATTGTATATACTCAATATAATGGTAATCGATTTCCTCTCAATGTCTTTAACACTAGACACTCAGTGGCGTATGTCTTCACTACAAATGTATTAATTTGATAAGAAGAAGGAACAGTATTTTCACACATTCAAACGACTAGACGCTGAATGAGCGGTGTGTATTAGTGATTTGCTGAAATATTAGAAACGTATTAAAAGTTACATTAATAAAAAAAAACAAAATCTGCTGAGATTAAAAAGAAAACAAAATTCAATCAATGTGATAAAAACAGAATTAAGAAACATTGTAAATAATAGACAATAAATGTAATAAAACGTTAAATTCACTCTTGTTATCCTCACATTGTTAAATGGTAGAACGTCGAGGTGTGTGTGACAGTATAGTGTAAGTTCTATTTTACCCTTACACAATTAACTTTAATGGTATGTCGACTTTGTCATGTAACCCTATCAAGGACGAGGTCTCGATTGAAGGGGTGATTACGTACCTGGTCCAATGTTTTGGAGACTAGCTGACCATGCTACCTTAGACTTCGTTGTTCCTGTCGATTCCTGTGAACGTACTGTAATTGTAAATATATTTAAAGTGAGACAAATTGTTTACATTTATGTGATGTTTGAAGTACACCAACACCTACAGTGATATAAAACATGTTGTTAACCACAACCAGACAGGATGTAAATATAAAGACTGAATTTTAGGAAAGAAAAAATTATGAACAGTTTACCTGTCCACAATATACATAGATACTTGATTTATAAAAAAACAATCGATTATGTGCTGAAAAAAAAACAACAAGAAAATAGCAACATACCAACATAATCATAATCCTAACTCAGTTTGAACAAAACTTTGGCAGGATATGAACAAAAGAACGATTTACAAGGAGACTCCCGAAATGGAACACGAAGAATAAAAGAATTGTATCGTCTCATCGACATTCTGAGATTAATGTCGGTATGATTGGCTGTACGAAGAATTTGTCATACACAATGAATGTTGATTAATAGTCATTATATATATAAATACTTGACATCCTATGCCAACTTTTTTCCAGTTTTGTGAAATTGACGAAGATCATATGATCAAAATGTATTCATTTTTCGAGATAATGAAGTTCTTTTAATGAACTTTCTATGTTTTGAAGTTTAAGAAGACGAAGATAAGGAATTTTACTTATAATAATCGTGTAATGTTATGTATGCTCCGTTCATCCTGTTAACGGTTTAAGCCCAGTATTGTAAAGCTATTTTGGTAATATGATTTTCTGACATTTTACAAACAAGCTTTATGATATATTAATGTTGTTTTCCTAGGATGTCGTAAAATCGGACATAACTTTCTTCTTCATAATTTTTTGTTCCATCCTCGAACATAACGAAAAGTGGAAAATAAAACCTCTTCATTATATAGACAACGTTTATGTGAACAATTACTGTATTAACAACGGTCAAGTATATTACTGTGGTTAAGTTGGTCCCGATCACGTGGGTAGAAGGAAATGGTAAGTATAAAGGCAGGTTTAGAGGGAAGTGTGGGTAAGCATATTGTTTGATGGGAGATATTTCACTTCCGATAGGATATCTAGGTAGGAATAAGATGTTTTAAGAACGAAACGGGTTTTTACAAACTGGATTATTTCGAGAAATAAATACAAAAACAAACTTAGCGTGTGTAAGGCTGAACAGAGTGTGTGTAAGGCTGAACAGAGTGTGTGTAAGGCAGTACAGAGTGTGTGTAAGGCTGAACAGAGTGTGTGTAAGGCTGAACAATGTGTGTTCGGCTTTAAGAAGTATTTATCATATCAAAAGAAGGCATATTTTTCTTCACAGTTTGAAAATACAGACGCATAAGGTGATTTTTATGAGACATTTGACGGTATGCACATCGAAGTATTCACCTCTCGGTGTATGGGTTAAGCTGAGAGATAATTACGACAACCTTGTAGTGATTGGGGTCGTTATTTTGTCAATAAAGTCATACATCTAACACATCTGATGAATGTTTGTCCTGCTAGGACTTTTTGTGTCGTAAATCAAACGTGTTGGCCGAGGCTTCAGATTTCCATCCTGATATAGCTATCAGTCTCATAGCGACTCCCTATCCTCGGAGACAGTTCTGGAAAGTTATATACATTATCAGTGGATCTTATGTCTTGGAATCTGTCCAGAAATCCACATAAACGGACAACCAGGTCAAAATTCCATTAACGATGAATCCGAATTTGACTGACAATGAATTATAATTTCATATGTCTTTATCTAAATGATGAAATGAGCCGTGATACAAGTGAACAACACTTTTTGATATAAATTTATATACATCAGAGCCAAACATTGAATAAAACTGCATCATGCAACTGTTTCGTCCTTCTAGGACTCGTCAGTGATGCTACATCATACAACTGTTTCGTCCTTCTAGGACTCGTCAGTGATGCTACATCATACAGCTGTTTCGTCCTTTTAGGACTCGTCAGTGATGCTACATCATACAGCTGTTTCGTCCTTCTAGGACTCGTCAGTGATGCTGCATCATGCAACTGTTTCGTCCTTCTAGGACTCGTCAGTGATGCTGCATCATACAGCTGTTTCGTCCTTCTAGGACTCGTCAGTGATGCTACACCATACAGCTGTTTCGTCCTTCTAGGACTCGTCAGTGATGCTATATTTTACAGCTGTCTCGCCCTTGGCGTCACCGGCGGGTCCTAGAAGAACGAAACAACTGTATGATGTAGCATGGCGTGAAAGATGCTATATTTTACAACTGTCTCGCCCTTGGCGTCACCGGCTGGATGTATGATGTAGCATGGCGTGAAAGCTGGATACATCGTTAACCTCAGATAGAATGAATGAAACAATGATATTGTGATACCAATATTCACGACACGATGTTAACGCATTATATCATCACAAAGTGACAAATTTACCGAAATTTACACAAAAAAACAGAAGACACGGAGACGTTCAGACCATGAAAGGAACCATCAGTTTTGATGTGTGAAATATAACTTCCGTATACGACAAAGCCATTGTGATGTCACTTCTGTCACGTGGGGAGAACTCAAATACTTGTCACCGAGGGTTACAGATATTAATGAGACTGACAGTATGAACAAAGTAACCATATACAACACCACGATTCTCTTACGGTGGTGTTATATAGAAGTTGTGTAAGTAGTGGGGCCGTTAATAATTAAGGTGCGGTCAGTTTCGTGGTCAGTGGCTGTTATTGGTCACCGCCAATTTTAACGGTCAGTGGTCGTACCAGGCGGACGAATGAGACATGTGTCCACTATAGCAGTGTCGTACACGATGTTTTTTTTTCAGTCAGATGATCAACGTCCTGTCATCTGGCGATGAATTCTACTCACCACTCAGGGGTTTATAAATTGCATATGTCCAATCCATTGTTTTTAACTATTGTCTACAAACTGTTGCTAAATTGTCCGAAAAATTCTTAATTAAAAAGAGTTAAACAAATCAGACTGTGTCGTTTTAAAACGAAATATACTGACATTATGTTATAAAATACATAGGTGTTCACACAGATGATACAAAAAAAAACTACAGATATACCAAAGGACATTATGTGAGAAAAGTAGGTATATAGGTATTCACACAGATGATACAAAAAAACCACAGATATACTGACATTATGTAATAAAAGTAGGTATATAGGTATTCACACACATGATACAAACAAACTACAGATATACTGACAACAAAGGTTTATCAATCTGTTCCAGGCGATGACGTCATATCTGTTGCATTTAGCGGCTACCTTATTTGAGAGTTTTTCGCGCTGAAAGCATTGCGCGAAAATATAAATGCGCTGATTGTCACTTCTGTATATTGTTTCAAACAATTATAATTGATGTGTGTAGTTGTTATTGCACTCACATCGTGAAATGTGATAATGTGTTCAATCTTCCTTGTTTTTAAGTAGTTTGCAGAATTGATCGACGACTTATGTTTTATTGGTCGAACTCAGTAACGTTAAAGGTGCAAATGTTGACAACAATACATATGCGAAAATTATACTGATTTCTAACACGAGTTTCGTAATTGAAACGGATGTATTACCAAACACGAAGACAAAAATGAATTAACATTTTTTCAACGAAATATCGAACAACAGAAACTATAGAGTTTAACGGAAATGTATTTTAATGATACGATCTCATCAGCTGAACAACTGTTGACAAAAATCAAGCATTTTTTACGTTATCATTGTGTTATAGGTTAAGGAGTCGTCGACACTAAGATGGACTATTTTTAGAAATCATGTTTCGGTTCCGGTTATGTATCCCCAAAGGGATGATATCGCTAAATGGTCAGCCCGAATCCTCGCAGCCTACACCGGACTACAAATCACTGGTCAGAGGTGTGGAGAAAAATGCCAAATTATTGATGTAAGTGACAGATATGTGACACTCTGTCGTACAATGTCCCGACATGCACTGCTCTACTGTCATGTGACGTAGAATTGATTGATAACACAGAGTATGACAAGTTAGCTGTTTAAGGTGTGGATCTAAGGTCTCGATAGAACAACCCAACCTTAAAGACGGATTTTATCATATATTGTGGTCATTGGTTTAGCAAATTTTAAGAAATCAGAGACTCGGAATTTTCGGTTTCATTTTTATATCAAGAGTGTTAACTTTATCTATTGAAAACAATATATAGATTGTTATGACTGTCTACATGTTCTCCCTCATATCCGAACATCAGTTACCTACTAGTTCAATGTTATCAGCAACTGTAACAAATACTCATTCGACTAAGTGAATTGATAAATTTCTGTAACCTGTAATCACAGTTACTATAAATCCTCTTTCACTTAATCATCAGTTTTGTTACTTTTGTTCAGTAAACAAAAAAGAGTGTGATGTCGTTGTGATTCTAGTCACTCCTGGAATCAAAAAGCAATACCTTCCCCTAAAACAGAGAAAAACCGTGGGATAGATATATACCGTATCGGTTATTGATATTTTGGCAGAGATTTTTTATTTCAATTTATTTGCAAAACAATTTTGTCTTGATGGGTTTTTTATTTTATTTTTATACTTAAGTCATTTTTCGCATTCTATAAAATGGAGGTATATTGACACTTAGTATATATCAATTAATATGTTTAAAAAAAAACAACAAAAAGTATTATTCATATGCTATGTTTCAAAGCAATTTGCAGCTCCGTTTCACTTTGCCAAATCAAGATGGCGGTCAGTTCAAACTTTTTCTGTTTTTTTTCTCTTCACCACATGAGTAAGTCATGAACAGACAAATGTAGGGTTTGTTTGAATGTGTGATGTTCCTTACTTTTGGGGACAATATGCACAATATCATAATGTATAAGGACATTTCATCTGTCATCAAATAACGAGATTATAAAAACTACGATTCTCAACTTAATGACGTCATCATCATAATAAGCACAACTAATTAAACGCGGACAAATAACGCTACATTAAGCTTGTGTATTTATACTGTAAACAATTAAAATAATGAATGCTCGACTCACACTAATTATGACGGGCTGTCGTTCTGACATGAGGAATGA